CCTATGGTGAAGCATGGTGGTGGCAGCATCATACTGTGGGGATGTTTTTCAGCGGCAGGGACTGGGAGACCAGTCAGGATTAAGGGAAAGATGAATGGAGCAAAGTACAGAGAGATCCTTGATGAAAACCTGCTCCGGAGCGCTCAGGACATCAGACTGGGGCGAAGGTTCACCTTCCAACAGTACAACGACCCTAAGCATACATCCAAGACAACGCAGCAGTGGCTTCCGGACAAGTCTCTGAATGTCCTTGAGTGGCCCAGCCAGAGCCCGGACTTGAACCCGATCTAACATCTCTGGAGAGACCTGAAAAGCTGTGCAGCGACGCTCTCCATCCAACCTGACAGAACTTTGCTTTGTTCATTTCACTTTCCAATTAAATAATTGTTTAATGATACGATTCTGTCTAAGAGGCAAGGCTACTTATTCTAACTTGGACAAGGCTACTTATGCTTACTTGGACAAGGCTACTTACTCTTACTTTTTACTTACGTCTAAGAGTGACTATTGTGTCCAGGGGACAGTTCCCAACAGTCCTATAGTAACCCAGGCATCTGTATGGCCCATTGGCCTCCTGCTTCCTTCTACATACACTAATAGTTATCTCAGTCTACTCACAGCACTTTTAACTGCACTGTCAATGAAATATTAGTTGCGTGCTCAGCACTCATTGGCATAATCAATTTAAATCTTCCTTGGAGAGTAATTTAGTGGATTTCTCCTGGGTTAAAGACTTTACCTCCGGGCCTTGTTCTGATCCGGAGCAGCCACTCAAACACAGTTGATTATGTTACCCCGTAGTTTGGTTTATAACATGATTACTATTTCAGCATGTAGTTAAGTTCACGGTAAGTGAATAACTCTAACTCATAAGGTACAGTATCTCTTGACTGAATAATTGATAAATATGCTACAGTTTGCTTACTGTATAGCAAAACGCATGTAAGTGATAAATAAAAACCTTACTTTAAATGGGAGACTTCCTGAAATAGTAGGATTCCATGGGAGATGAAAGCAGGCTATGAAGCAATAACGAAATTTCAGTGTCGATATTGGGGGGGATGAATAGTAGATGAGGTGTCCGAGGGGTCCTTCCCCAGATTAAAAAAACAAACATTTTAAAACACATTTCCAGCAATTCACAGTTTGACATGACTTATTATGCTTCTCTTGAGAGGTAGTGTTTAGGGATATGTGAAGGGGTATTTTGAAAAAACAATAAGTGGAAGGATAAGTGGAAGGCCTCCCACCCCCATTTTGCCATGGGGCAGAGAGAAAAATGTGCTGTTTTAGAGCTCATCTCATGCTATTCTTCACATTTTGCCATGAGAATGAGAGAACATTTTGCAGTTTTAAAGCTCATTTCCTGCTACTCTACACAGTTTGCCATGAGGCTGAGAGAACATTTTGCTGTTTTAAAGTAACTATCCAGTATGAAAAAAAAAATGTATGCACTCACTAACTGTAAGTCGCTCTGGATAAGAGTGTCTGCTAAATGACAAAAAATTGAATTTTATTTTTTATTTTTTATGTAAATATTCTGTTAACTCATACCCAAATAATATTGTTGACTCATCCTATATTCGTATTTGTGGCCAAAGCATAAATTCGAGAGAAAACACTTAAAAAACCCGACCTCAAACTTGTAACTCAAACAGACAGTTTAAAAAATGCTTGCTATGTCCTCATAGAGGACCAAAATCACATAGAAATGTGAGTTATAGATCTGACATTCTCATTGAAAGCAAGTCTAAGAAGTGGTAGATATGTTCTATGTGCACTATTTCTATGCTTGCAGTGCTTAAGTTTCATTTTTGCATCTTTTACTTTCGGTTTTCTACGCCAGCTTCAAACAGCTGAAAATACAATAGTTTTGGTTATGGAAAATATATTTCACAGTGGTTTAAGATGGTATAATGATTTTCTACACTATACTTGCTTGTTTTGTCACATAAACTGAAATTAAGGCGAACTATTAGAATTTTTGCCACCAGGAAATGGCAGAGTGATTTCTGCCATAGTGCATCTTTAAAGGTCGAATTTGGGCAAAAATAAACAAATAACGGCATTAAACTGTATAACTGATCAATGCACCATCATACCAGGTAGTTTAATGCTTAAAACAAAATAAAATAGATGAACAAGATATTTGGCTACAGAAGTGCCATTTCTTACCGATCTGTACAGCTTCCATCCAAAAACAAATAGTCCAAAAACTAATCATGTGAAATGACGCCAACACGTAGTGGAGGAGTTACTGGCTAGCTACGAGAACGAACTAGCTACATTGGTCGTGGTGCGCATGACCAGAATGACACATCGATGAACCACCAAAGGCACACCCAATTTCTGTTTAAAAATGTAGAAATAGGGGGAGTTGGACCGTTTTTGGTGCCCAAAGTTGACCGTTAAATCTCATTTCATGCAATTCTACACATTTCGCCATTGCTAATGAATAGTTAATATGCTAGCTGAGGGGCCCCCGACCCCCGCAAATCTATTTTATTTTATTTTAAAGAAATTGTTGGGAGGGATGAATCGACTTGTTCTGATTATTGGGGGGGGGGGGGGGGGGGGGCTCGACATGTCCCCCCATACATGTTAGAGGCAGACCCACTAATGCATGCAGGTTTACAGTAAGCATTGTGTCTAGTCAGCTGATGGATCCATGAATAACATTAACCAATCTTGCAACTAGAGGTGAAAAAAACTCTAGATCACCTTTACTCAACACACAGAGACGCATACAAAGCTCTCCCGCTCTCCATTTGGCAAATCTGAACATAACTCTTTCCTCCTGATTCATCCTGCTTACAAGCAAAAACTCAAACAGAAAGTACCAGTGACGCGCTCAATATGGAAGTGGTCTGATGAAGCGGATGCTAAACTACAGGACTGTTTTGCTAGCACAGACCGGAATATGTTCGATGGCATTGAGGAGTTTACCACATCAGTCACCGGCTTCATTAATAAGTGCATTGACGACGTTGGATTACAGGCAACATCTGCACTGAGCTAAAGGCTAGAGCTGCCGCTTTCTAAAGGCTAGAGCTGCCGCGGGACACTAATCCGGACGCTTATAAGAAATCCCACTACGCCCTCCGTCGAACCATCAAACAGGCAAAGCGTCAATACAGGACTAAGATCGAATCCTACTACACCGGCAGGGCTTGCAAACTATCACGGATTACAAAGGGAAACCCAGTCGTGAGCTGCCCAGTGATGTGAGCCTACTAGACGAGCTAAATGCCTTCTATGCTCGCTTCCAGGCAAGCAACACTGAACCATGCATGAGAGCACCAGCTGTTCCGGACGACTGTGTGATCACGCTCTCTGTAGCTGATATGAGTAAGACCTTTAAACAGGTTAACATTCAAAAGGCTGCAGACGGATTACCAGGACGCATACTCAGAGCATGCGCTGACCAGCTGGCAAGTGTCTTCACTGACATTTTCAAACTCTCCCTGACCCAGTCTGTAATACCTACATGTTTCAAGCAGACCACCATTGTCCCTGTGCCCAAGAACCCCAAGGTAACCTGTCTAAATGACTATTGCCCCGTAGCACGCACATCTGTAGCCATGAAATGCTATGAAAGGCTGGTTATGGCTCACATCAACACCATTGTCCAAGACACCTTGGACCCACTCCAATTCACATACCGCCCGAACAGATCCACAGATGACGCAATCTCTATTCCACTCCACACTGCCCTTTCCCACCTGGACAAAAGGAACACCTATAGATGTAGGATCTTAATTTGATCACTCTTTTGTTGCTGATAATTTTTGCTGCACAGCAGGAAATGCAAACTTGTGGTGTATTTGAGTTTTAAACAGGCTTATAAAGTTTGTAATTTCTACTTTGAAAATTCAGACTTGATTTGCCCTAATTCAAAATGTATCAACCTCTACAAAAATGTCCATTAATTATAATCAACATAATAATTCACATTTCCTGTCTGTATACGCCCTGCTATAGCTTGATGACTATCCCTGCGATAACTGCAATTATTGCTTATTGCTCCGATCATTGACTAACAATGAAATGTTTCCCCTCAGAGCTTCACATGTGCTTACAGTATCAACACCATGCTTGATTTACTCGGAAGGGCCTCTAGACCTGCTATACTATTGATCAGGGACAGACTAGGCCTACTGGGCATTTGCCAGAATTTCCCAATGGCCAGTCTGCCCCTGCAGTGAGTTCTCTTCATATTCAATAACATATTCCATGATCTCAGTGTTGATCCTTTGTCCAGTACACTTTTATTTATTTTTGAACTTCAGACACTGGCACCAAATTGATCAGATTATTTGAAGGTGCATGTTAATTGAATTGAATGACCTGACTAATAAACGACTCTAGTAAAAAAGATTTTACACTGGATGTGTAGCCTAGTTTCTCCACTCCAGCCCGACAGACAATTTGTTGTGTTCACCATGCGCTGCTGCTGCAGTCACTGGCTCTTAATGGCCTTACAGCCATGAATATTAGATACACTTCCCCTCGCTAGCAGAAAATGATGATGAGACCTAATAAAATACATGGGCTGGCCAAGAGCTTAAAAGACAATGTGTGAAAAACACATCAATGTCCCATATTTTGTTTGTATTGTATAGCTTGGTCTCTGTAACATTAATTGACAATACAAACAAATGGCCACAAAGTGAAATAGTCTAACCACATCCATGACTAAGTGTATGATTTTGCTCTGCCTAATGAATACTCAGAGAGAGAGAGAGAGATGGAGAAAGAGGGGGTGGAAATTAGACAGAGAAAGGGAGTCACACATCTGCATCTAAAACCAAGGAAACACCATTTGGTTCTTGATCCTCTTGTCTTGGAACTTCCTTTCATATTAACTGAAGGTCCTCTAATTCAGGACCGCTGAGTGGGATCATTCTTCCAGTGTATCACTGTGCCTGGTCTCTCCAGTCCTGTCTGTCTGTGTGCTGGGGTCTGGGATGCTACTGGTCAAGCCAGTGTGTCTGCAGTAGGGAAATGTGTCAGAGGATGGGAGTTACCTGCAGCCACAGGCAGCCCAGAGAGTAGACTGTTCAGAGAGCTGGGTGTCTCTCACACGCAAAGGAGACATGGCGGGGGATATTGTGGTGGGGATACTCTATAATTTAGTACTACCTCTTCTTCTGCTTGCAGGTAAGTTGGGTTTGGAAGAATGTAAGGTAACAATTCAAGTGTCAGGTATCAATACAGCAGGACGGTGGACGTGTTAGTTATTGAGGTCATAGTAGTGGTTTTTACAGTTCTATTGAGAGATTCTGCTTTTATAAAGTGCTCAAAGAATATTGCTAGAAACACCATTTTGGATGCTTTACAGAAAGCACAAATAATGTATGTGAGACATGTTGTTTGGGGGAATGCACAGATTAATCCATTATTTCTTGTTTCCCCTGATGGTAATTATTTGAGTGGATGAAGGATTGCAATATTTACCTGGAGCTAACCCTGCAGATAGCACTACTGGGTGATCTGAAAAGTCATAGTCAATCGATCAATAATATAATAATACTTTAAGCAAAAATGTTTATTTTCAATTTACAATCTGTAGAAACAATGAGAATAGAAGGGTTCAGAATTTTTGTGAAACATCACAGTACAGTTTTAAAATATATGGCAAATAGAAATCCAATATGGATGGTGTTAAGAGATAGATGGGAGGTGTTGAATGGAGTTGAAGGATGGGACTAATAACAACTAACAACAACTAATAATGGGCTCCCGAGTGGCGCAGCGGTCTAAGACACTGCATCTCAGTGCTTGAGGTGTCACTACAGACCCCCTGGTTTGATTCCAGGCTGTATCACAATCGGCCGTGATTGGGAGTCCCATAGGGCGGCGCACAATTGGCCCAGCGTCGTCCGGGTTTGGCCGGTGTAGGCCGTCATTGTAAATAAGAATTTGTTCTTAACTGACTTGCCTAGTTAAAAATATATAAAAATAACAACAAGATAACTAATGTAAAGCATACTGTGTCCATTATAGGTTGAGAGCTTTTGTGAAAGAGCACAGTTAGAAAGATTATGCATCTAGAAGCAAACCGGATGGACGTCATGAAAATGATCGGAGAGGTTGAGGGTAGAGGAAGTTCAGGAGTAAAAACAAACAAAATATAATTATTGTAAAATTGACTGTGTCCATAAAATGTATATAGTATGTATAAGCTGGAAGTAGAGGCCTAAGCATTGTTGTTCACTAGTTTACTCCAATTAGGGAAGGGGTGGTGGAGTTGGAAAGTAATAAAGGGAAATATATATTTTTTAAAGGATATGTATGTATATGTATTTATATGTATGTGTGTGTATATGTATGTGTATGTATGTATATGTGTGTATATATATATATATATATATATATATATATATATATATATATAATATATATATATATATATATTTATTTGCAAGAAAAAACCCATATGGGGGATTAGAAGTGATGCAGACAATTACATTGATGGAAGTTACAATGTATCTGCAACATTAAAGCTGATCTACCCCCTAAAAAAAAATATATATATATATTTGAGTGGACACATTGTAATAATGTGATCATGTAGTAATTGAGTAAAGTGTGCCGTAAAACTGTACTGGGAAATAAAAATGTTTTGTTGTTGAATAGTATGTTTATTGCATTGTTGTGTTCTCAACAGTACAATATTGAGCATGTGAGTTCAGAGATGTGTGTAATTGTGCACTAAAATCAGATACTTTGAACTTTTCAGATTATGGAATTTTCACAATGCCCTCAAATGACATCATTTCCAAGCGTTCCAAATGAGCATGTTGACAGCTGGCCATGCCTCTCTTAGTGTTAAATCAAGGATACAAAATCTACTCTGACCAAAATATTATTGCAGATCATTTATGATGTATTTAGCTGTTGTATAAAGAAAGGAAAATTAAACAAGCAGAAAACCTTTGCCTGTCACCTTTAAGACACATTTTCCATTTTAAGTGTATTTTCATTCAGTAAGTATTATACTTTTTTACCTCACAATTAAGTATAGAAAATCAAGATTCCAAGTAATTTCAAAAAGAAACAAATATAATACTGATTAAATTATACTTTCCTTCATTTGAGTGTTTTGTATTATTAAAAGTTTAAAGTTAACACTATGATCCGTGATTTTGATGTCAGTTTCATTGCCATTGTTGGTCGAAGAAGACCAAGAATAAAATGTGGTGTGACCAGTAAGCCGCATTGTTTTTTAGCTAGCTACTTGTTTACTGTGTGATGGGGCTTTGTTCAGTCTAACACTTGTGCATTTTGTATTAGTAGGTGCAATGGATCATAGCATTTTATTACCAAAGCCTTTTCTCTTTGATGGATAATACAGTAGGCTGTTTGTTTCTAGCAGCTGTTGATGAATTATTGCTTTCTGTTTCAACTGTGTTTATTTGGATTTTCCGTAGGATGGACTCAACATAATGAGCAATCACATAAAATACAGCACCGAAGACAAATTAAAATTACAGTATGTACCTAGATATTATATTATACATACAAATAAACATCCATGTAAAATCTTTGTTATCTCTCCATAGCGTCATCCTTCCGGTACAATGGTCTGTCTGTGGTGTATTTCCTTTTCCTGCTCACCCTTCCTCTGCTGCCAAACCCCTCTCTCACCTCCATGCAAGGTAAGACCTCAGAGTAACACCACTAGGTCTGAAATGGCACCCCAAGTTGTAGACTATAAAGAATAAGGTGCATTTTATTCCAAGTTACACTGACTTTTATCCTATGCTACAGGGTCCTCTATACGTTTTTAATGTTTGCTAATAAACACCATGTTTGATCAATGTGGCCCTTGGGAGACAAATCGTTTTAATGTTAATGTTTATTGGGCTGCCTGTCTATTATTTGCAGAATAGTGTTAAAGTACACTCATATAGGGTTCTTCGATTTGTCCCCATTGGGGAACCCCTTTTGGTGCTAGGTAGAACCCTTTGCAAAGGTTCCTACCTAGGACCCTCTATGTAGGGTTCTTCATAGTACCCCCTATATAGGGTTCTGCCTAGAACCCTCTATGAAGGGTTCTACCAATAACCATTTTATCATCTAAAGCTTCTTGCTAGAACCATCTATGAAGGGTTCTACTGATAACCGTTTTATCTTTGTAGGGTTCTTCCTAGAACCGTCTATGAATGGTTCCATCAGCCTCATTAGCCTTCTAAAATAAAATAATTTATAACAATAATTACAAATATCAAAGGCCTTTCTTTTAGGGCCTAGTTATACCCTAACACATCAGGCTTGCAAGTCACATTATGCTAGCTTGCAAATTGATGTGTAATTCCTATTGGAATCTAGCCAGAGTTAGAATATCCAACAAGTGGAATTTTTTTATCACTCGCAACCTGCATTCAGAATGACTGCTAGGGTAGGGAAGATTGAATACTGAGACTACCTCAATCATGTGAACTGGAACATCCATCCCAGTAACTAGTGTAATAAGTTGTGTGTAATAACTACTAACAGATTGGATTAGTTTAGAAAAATGTATGTTATTTATCTTTGTGTAGCATAAAACTAATCAACCAATCAATGTACATGCAAAAACACAGATATTAAAACAAACAGTTCTGTAAATAACCCACAATAGAGCATGCTGGGAAATGTGGCTCTATGTAGAACCCTTCTTGCCTTTCAAAAAATCCATCTTGCCTTCCAAACAATCATTAAACAACCCTTTCTTCCAAAAACGATTCATAGAATGTTAAAGGTTCTAGGTAGAACCCTTTACCTTACAAAGAACCCTTGTCTTCCAAAAAGGGTTCTTCAGATCAAAATAGTTATAGGTAGAACCCTATCCCTCCACAAAGAACCCTTTTGGAACCCTTTTTTCGAAGAGTGTTGCAGTGTGTGTGTGTGTGTGTGTGTGTGTGTGCGAGCGTGTGTGATTCCTCAACTCATATTGACCAACATACAACATGTGTGTGCATTCTATTGTATGTTTATCAATAAAGTTGATGAATTAAAAGATTGGCCATTTACTTTGTAAAGGGATGTTGCTAGTATGGTCTGATCTATTATGTATAACCTAGTAATTACATAGTGGAATTAAATGTTGTGGTGTCAGCATTTGCGAGATGGTTTTCTTGCATGCTGGACTATTAGCCCTTTTCTCTTTAAAAGCTTTGTGTATCATTTTTCAGTCTTTGTCTCGCTAATATGACATCACCCCTGGGTTGAGTGGTCAGGGGTGGGGTGCAGAGATTAAACACATCATACAGAAGCAGAATTGACCGGCCTTCACTTAGTAGAGCAGAAATGAAACAAAGCTTTTAGTAAAAACCTGGGCATCGGAAGCCCATTTGCTGGCTCCGCTAATGCTGCACCATTCCACCAGGCCTTGTTTTCACTCTTCTCTCTTAATTATAGGGGTCAGCCTCTGTTAATATGCCACTGCTGTCTAACTGCTCTGTTCTGTTCGGTTATTGCCTACAGAGGAAATTGTTGGCTTTTGTTGGAGTTGAACATTTGAAAATGTCAAGACATACACATTTCACAGAGCATTAGAAATCTTTGTCTTCATAGATACGGTATCTATTCAATGTACACACACAATTAAACTGAAACCAAATGTCTTTGTTAAGTACAAGTGTTATCTTTTTTTATTTAATTTGTTCTGCTGTTCAGGCAAATCCAGTTCCATGTTGCCTACTTTATTAAACTATCGATCACAGAAACTTCTCACAAGACACAGAATGACTCTGTGGTTTTAATACTGTCGTTAGGCATCCTTTGGGAAGGCAGAATGTGATAATCCTCGTTTAGTAAGCACAGCTCACTACGTATCTGTAAGTACAGAGACCTATATTATCTGCATTTCCACAGTAGACACTACCACTATCCTCAGCCGTTAAGATAGGGGAAAATTGAGTTAAAAAAGGCCATTAAAAGTAACAGCCTAATTACATGCAGTGATCCCTGTACGGATGATAACAGAATACCGACTGGCTGATCTGAATACTTGTATGTGTCTCAGAGGGGTTGGGAAAGGAATAAAGACATGTACTGTTTCTCACAAAAATGGAAAATAACGTTTCTATTCTATTCTCCCCCCAGTAATCTGTGTCTCTGGTCTTGTATTTCTAAAGGAAAAACAGGGACGTTCCTGCTGCTCATCTGTTCTACCAGCGTGACGTTTCTGGCTCTCCAGTGTTTCATGCAGATCACTTTTGCCTACGTACCTCAGTATGGTAAGATAACACCAGCCTCTATCAGCTCACTGAGCTATTAACAACAAATACTCAGAGATGCTGCTGGACAGCAACCAAAAGAGAGACAGATGTTTGTTTTAGCATTTTAATACATGGAGAGCATAATGAACTTACTCATTCAAGAAAACATTTATGAGGGTGGATGTTGCTTTGGCATTTTGCTGATAAGACAAGACTTGATTTCTATCTGAAATATTTGTGTTGTTCAACAGAGAACGAATATTGGGAGAATATTCTCTACCATCTGGGCATTGTACGGTAGGGCCACATTTTCTTTACTTTTTTAAAACAGACTTTGGTGTTGTTTCTAATGCGGGTGTTGTTAATCACTTGTTGTGTGTTATGTCCCCAGGTTCAGTTTGGTGGATGCAGGGAACATTGTGCGTCTCTTAGCCCCTGATCTGGGGCTCTTCCTGTCAGGGCTCTTCATACTGCGCCTGGTCAGGAAGCTGCTGCGCCCCATGCCCCAACTTAACCAGAACTGTATCGCACCCTCTGACCCTGAGGTATGCACATGGCCAATTTCATCTGCCACTTTTGTTCAATTCACAGTACACAGTAGTTTAACCATTATTGTTTTAAATGAGAGCGTTAGAAATGTACATCATACATGCCGATATGTTCTAAATAATTTGAAGGTGAGGCGCATCACCTTCTCATGCAGTATTTCAGCACTTCTACTCTAGTGGTTTGAACATGGAACTCCTTTAGATTGAATCTGTTATAAAGTAAAATGGTGTTATGTCCGTCAAACTAGTGCTCTTCTGACAAAGCAGGATGTGGACATGTCCGACTCAGAGTCTGAGGTTGGCAGTGAGGTCACAGGCGGCTCGTCCTATGACAGTTCAGATGAAAGCATAGCGGTGCCGGCAGCCCTTCCTCAGTTTGTCCAGAAGTTCATTGCATTTGCCCTTGGACTGCGCCTCTTGCTGTCCGCCATCATGAACACAGCAGGGAAAGTAGTGGTCACCATACTACTAGGGCTGGCAGGTACATCTCAAAAGGCTGTCCTTTCCTTGCTGTACATTCTAATCTAATTCATTGCATTCAAAGAAGTCACTTTGGACTCTTATGTACTATTCTTGCGAGCCAGACTCAAAGTCTTGCATTGGCTCAGCCTTCTCTGCTGTATAGCTCAGCCAAATGAAGACAACTAATTTACTATCTGCTCCCCCACACTACTATAATCTTCTCCTTTCTCCTCTTGACTGGTCCTCCTCCCCATGTACCAGGCATCACTCTGCCCTCCCTGACCTCAGTGGTGTATTTCGGGACGTTCCTGGGCCTGGTGTGGTGGTGGGTGTTACTCCGCTCCCTCAGCATGCTGTTCTTCAGTACCCTCTGTGTGATGATGGCTATATTCAGCACCGGTCACCTGTTGAGCCTCTACCTGTACCAGCTGCCCCTGGCCCAACAGATCGTACCCCCACAGGACATCTATGCCAGGTAGGGCCATGGGACCAGGATGTAGCATCACAGGATACTGGCTGGACACTGACTGTACAGATACAAAACTAATTGTATTTATTCATATTGTCGAAATAGAAAATAATAACACACTCTACTACACTGGACACAGACATACACAATCACTGTTAAATGTCATAAACTGATACATGCCCGTCTTCAGATTTCAGTATCTACTTGATCTATCCACTGTGAATTTTGTTTGTTAACCGATCTGGTGTATCTCTCTCTGGTTTTGTTCAGGCTGTTTGGTATAACAGCGGTCATCCAAACCAATGAGACTGAGCCATACAGTCTGGGTCTGCAGCCAGACGTCAGCTGGCCTGTCTTCACCAACCCCATTGTGCTGCTGCTCCTCTATTACACACTGGTGGCTCTGCTGCACAAGTGGGTCAACATCACTGAGGAGGAGGAGGTACTTTAACTAAGACTGAGGCGCCAATGCAACTAAGAGGCCTAAGTTAATGACTGTGTCCGAAATGGCACCCTATTCCCTATATAGTGCACCACTATATGGGTAGGGCTCTATATAATGAATAGGGTGACATTTCACATGCAGTCAATGACTTGTGGATGAAAGAAAACTGGGTTTATGCTGCTGGTTTATGCTTTATTGGAGGTGTTAATTGTGTGTGTGTGTCATTTCATGGTGCTGTCTGTGTATTTCTGCTAGGATACTCTGGAGAAGTCTGAGAGTCCAGTAGAAACCCATGAGGATCCCCCCAGCTTCTCCAAGATCTTATTCATCTCAGGAGACAGACTGGAGGTGTTGAAATCTAATACAGTTCTATTTCACAATCTAGCCTCTTGTAGTGTTGCCAACATGATTTTCTACAGATTTCTTGAACAGTTGTCTTTCTTTGTCTATCACAGCTACTGACCAGTACGGATGATGAAGCGTACATGCCAGAGGAGGTACATGAGGTACATTCTGCTCTCCCAATGTACCCCAAAGTGTTGTTGTTATAACTACTTTAAAGGGACTTTAAATGTCTGGTTAGACACTATATATATTTGGTATGCATCACTTTTCTTCAAAGACAAAATTCATAGTAAACTGTTTTTCCTCTGCAGCCAATGGTTTTACTGATGAGCAGCTCATGGCATGATCTGAGAGGACAGGAGGTGGGGTCACTGCTGGTAGGGCCAGCGGCAGGATATTCAAATTGCTACCCTCCACCACAATATGAAGGAATAGACTTGTCACTCTCACAAGGTAGGTGACGTATGGGAAGTATTATTGGTCACACTTAATTTGGATAGTCTGGATTTCCCATCTGTAGATGCAAAAGTATCTGTTGATAAGCAACTGCTTGCTAAGGTTAGGGTTAGGGTTACGTTAGGTTTAGAATAAGGGTAAGGGTTAAGGTAGGGGATAGGGTTAGGGTAAGGGTTAAGTTTAGGATTAAGGGTTAAGGTTAGGGTTAGAGCTAGGGTTAGGATAAGTAGATAGTTAGTTGAAATGTTACTGTAGAGATCTACAGATGGACTATCCAAATAAAGTGTTGCCGTATTATTTATATCCACCTGGATATTTTGATCGTACCCAGTCATGAATAAATGGTAGTAATTTGATATTTAATAAATATTCCTCACTAGTGTAGAATCTGACACAGCACAGTCTTAAAATCTGACAATTATATGCAATAGAAACTCTTCTAAACTACATCCTCTGCTGTTTTTCCTCTCTCAGAGTCAGAGGAGGTGAAAGAGATGAGTGAGGAAGAGAAGGAGAGGAGTGAGGAAGAGAAGGAGAGGAGTGAGGTGTCTATACAGGATACAGAGACCATTCCCACCCCTCCTGGCCCCAGTGGACTGGTTGTGTTCGGCCTGTTCATCATGAAGCACAGCTATGTCAGCGCACTCATCATCATGATGGTAAACCACTTTATTTCTATGATGGTATTATAGTTTTGGTGTAGACATTAGTCATTGAACAATTCACTTTATGAAAACAGTTCCTTTAAAAATCAAACTGAATAGAGATCAATTACCTTCACATTACCTTACATCTCTTTAACATAAACATGGCTATATAACTACACTCTTAGAAAAATAATTGCTATCTTGAACCTAAAAGGGTTCTTCAGAAGTCCCCATAGCATAACCCTTTGAATGATCCTTTTTGGTTCCAGGTAGAACCCTTTCGGGTTCCACGTAGAACCCATTCCTCAGAGGGTTCTACATGCAACCCAAAAGGGTTCTCCTGTGGGGACAGCTGAAGAACCCCTTTGGAACCCTTTTTTCTAAGAGTGTATTTAAGATGTGTGGCGTGCCTCCTGTGTTCCTTCAACCCCTCAGGTGTGGAGCATCACCTATAACAGCTGGCTGACGTTCGCCCTGCTGGTGTGGTCGTGTCTGATCTGGATGATGCGTGACCGTCGGCGCTATGCCATGATGAGCGCTCCCTTCCTGGCGGTGTACGGCACCGTGCTGCTGCTGCTCGCCTTCCTGAGCGGCCTGAGGCTGCGGCAGGACGAGCTTTACCCTGGCCTACCTCACGCCGTGCTGGTAGACTTTGACATGGTCACTTACCCAGTACCCTGTGTCCACCTGGGAGCCAAGATGTTCTACGCCTTTAGCTTCTTGCTTCTGTTCCGTCAACAACTGAAGGAGAAACAGGAAGAGCAGGATCTGAAGGAGTCAGAAGAGTCTCTGGATGAAGTCAAAGTGCTACCATGTATGGACTCTTCTCCTTTTATGCATACTTTATGGATTCACATTGATAAAGTCACATTCTCTAATACAGTATTGATCAAATGCATTAGAAATGCATATGATATTGTACCCAGGTGTCTGTAACATTCTTCACTTAACAGTGCTCTAACCCATAGAGGTGTTTGACCCTTTGAACCAGTTCTATGTTGTGTTTGACCCTTTGAACCAGTTCTATGTTGTGTTTGACCCTTTGAACTAGTTCTACGTTGTGTTCCTCCTCTCCCTTAGCGGATGAAGGTGACACCTCCTCCATAATGGAGATGCTGGGTTCAGCGGTCAAAGGAACCCTGGTGAAGTACTGGATCCTGTTCTGCTGCTCTACGTTCTTTGTGGTCAGCTTCTCTGGGAAGGTGATGGTCTACAAGATCCTCTACATCGTGCTGTTCCTCTTCTGTGTTGTCCTCTATCAGGTGGGCCTCATACTTACTTCTAGATAATGTTATACCAATGTTGTTGTGTGTACTGCACAGGAAATACCATATATATTGTGCTCTATAAATAAAGTGTATATTACATAAGCTTCTATATACAATGTTATTCAAAAGAGAAGGGAATTAACAAACTGAGTGAAAGATAAGATTGTGTCAAATGAAAAGGAAAATGGCTGTGAAATTGTTTGATTTAAGAGCCATATTAGCTAGTTAACCAAGAATTTCTAGTGATGCTAATGATACGGTAATTAACTAACTAACTAATAGTCATCATTAGCTGTTTACGGCACTTAAGAAGCAAAGAGGGTCAACAAAACATTATGACACATTTACCTTCCCTTTGCATCCAATACCTCAACGACAGCCCGAGACTCTCATCAATACAGATCCGGTTATGAATATTGATCCTACTTCGTAAACACAGACACAAAACATTTCTGCTGCCGTTTTCCTGGTTTCCCTCCTCATCTTGTATTTCTGCTGACCTTTTAGCTCTGAGCACTTACAGCAACTTATTGGCTTAACTACTACCTCACACCACACATACTGTAAGGAAGCCAAGATGACCCTCTTGTTTATCATTGCCAGCAGCACTGTTGTTTCACAAACAGTCTGACTGAGGGGAAATATATATTGCGTATATTGCTGCATTATATTTAATAATGTAGGTATTATTATGTAAAACATTGTGAATGTGGAAATAACATATGAATACAGGGGACACACTCTTTTCACGCCACTTTGATACAGCTACGACCAGAAGTGATTTTCGTAGCAGGTTAGGAGAGCATTTTCGCTATCTAGAACCCTCTATGCAGGATTCTTCAAAGAACCCCCTGTATATGATTCTACCTAGAAACCTCTATGAAGGGTTCTGCCTAGAACCCTTTATAAAGCGGTTATCATCTAAAGGTTCTTCCTAGAACTGTCTGTGAAGGGTTCTACTGAGAACCCTTTTATCTTTGGAGGGTTCTTCCTAGAACCGTCTATGAACGGTTCCACCAGCCTTATTAGCCTTTAAAATTGTATTATTTATGACAATACATTACATATATCATAAGGCCTTTCTTTGAGGACCTAGTTATACTCTAACACAGTGGTGTTAGGAATCTCCTGGTTTACAGGCCACATCAGGCTTGCAAGTCACATTATGCTGGCTTGCAAAGTGATGTGTAATTCCTATTGGAATCCAGCCAGAGTTAGGATAGCCAACAAGTGGAATTGTTAATCACCTGCAACCTGCATTCAGAATGACTGCCATGGTAGGGAAGATTGAATACTGAGACTACCTCAATCATCTAAACTGGAACAACCATCTCAGTAATGGGTGCAATAAATTCAATTACTAACAGATTGGATTAGTTTAGAAAACAATGTTATTTATCTTTGTGTAGCATAAAATTAATCGACCAAGCAATGCATTCGGGAAAGTATTCAGACCCCTTGACAAAATTACACATTTTGTTATGTTACAGCCTTATTCTAAAATTGATTAAATTGTATTTTCCCCTCATCAATCTACACACAATACCCCATAATGACAAATATTTTTTTTTTTTTTTTTTTTTGCAAATGTATAAAAAAAAAAAAAACGGAAATACTGTAAGTATTCAGACCCTTTACTCTGTATTTTGTTGAAGCACCTTTGGCAGCGATTACAGCCTCGAGTCGTCTTGGGTATGACGCTACAAGCTTGGCACACCTGTATTTGGGGAGTTTCTCCCATTCTTCTCTGCAGATCCTCTCAAGCTCTGTCAGGTTGGATGGGGAGTGTCGCTGCACAGCTATTTTCAGGTCTCGCCAGAGATGTTCGATCGGGTTCAAGTCCGGGCTCTGGTTGGGCCACTAAGGACATTCAGAGACTTGTCCCAAAGCCACTCCTGCGTTGTCTTGGCAGTGTGCTTAGGGTCGTTGTCCTGACCAAGGCCCTTCTCCTCCCATTGCTCAGTTTGGCCAGGCGGCCAGCTCTAGGAAGAGTCTTGGTGGTTCCAAACTTCTTCAATTTAAGAATGATGGAGGCCACTGTGTTTTTGGGGACCTTCAATGCTGCAGACATTTTTTGGTACCCTTCCCAGATTTGTGCCTCGACACAATCCTGTCTCGGAGCTCTACGGACAATTCCTTCGACCTCATGGCTTGGTTTTTGCTCTGACATGCACTGTCAACTGTGGGACCTTATTTAGACAGGTGTGTCCAATCAATTGAATTTACCACAGCTGGACTCCAATAAAGTTGTATAAACATCTCAAGGATGATCAATGGAAACAGGATGCACCTGAGCATAATTTAGAGTCTCATAGCAAAGGGTCTGAATAATTATGTAAATAAGGTCTTTCTGTTTTGTATGTTTTATACATTTGCAAAAATGTCTGAAAACCTGTTTTTCGCTTTGTCATTATGGGGTGTTGTGTGTAGATTGATGAGTTAAACATTTAATTTAATCAATTTTAGAATAAGGCTGTAACGTCACAAAATGTGGAAAAAGGGAAGGGGTCTGAATACTTTCCGAATGCACTGTACATGCAAAAAAAGATATTAGAGTAAAACATACAATTCTGAAAATCTCCCTGCAACAGAGCATGCTGGGAAATATTGTATATTGTTCTATGTAGAACTAAATAATCTTTCTTGCCTTTCAAAGAATAATCAAATAACCCTTTCTTCCAAAAACGATTCTTAGGATGTTAAAGGTTCTAGGTAGAACCCTTTTGGAACCCTTTTTTCTAAGAGTGTAGCTGTATCGAAGTGGAGTGAAAAGAGTGTTTCTCTTGAAGACAGCGATGATAGATTGGTTTGAAAAGGCAAATTGTTTTGTGGACGCCTGTTGTCATGAAATGTGGGTAGTAATTGAGGGAAATCAGAGTGCTTGAATGATCTTTATAAAATAACGTATTTTACTGTTTTTGCTCCTTATGATTAGTATTTGTAGAGTGATTTGACCTTGATTATCATGGTATCAATGTTACCGTTCCTCAGATCTGTTATGACATGTGGAGGCGAGTGCTAAAGTACTTCTGGGCGGTGGTGGTGGGCTACTCCATGGTCGTCCTGATAGCCATCTACATGTACCAGTTTAAGACGGTGTCTGGCCTGTTCAGACAGATCATGGGCATGTCTGAGGAAGGGTGAGTGTGCATGGTGGCACTGTGGTCAACCCTGTACATTCAAAATGTTGCTTATGCCTCCATATTGTTGTTGTCACCCCAAGACTTTAAAGTGCTACAGTGTTAATTCATTCATTGACTCATTCATTGCCCAGGAATTCCTCATATATTGTACCCTGTGTCTGAAACTCTCCCTGATGATCCATGGCTAATAGCATACTGTAGACATCACAGGTTGGTGGCACCTTAATTGGGGAGCACAGGCTCGTGGTAATGGCTGGAGCGGAATCAGTGGAATGATATCCAATACATATGTGTTTGATGCCATTCCATTCGCTCCATTCCAGCCATTATTATGAGCCATCCTCCCCTCAGCAGCCTCCACTGGTAGACGTTATATGCTCAGTGCTGTCCCTGTCCTCTGTCCTCTAGTCTGCGTGATCTGGGGTTGGAGCAGTACGACACTGTGGAGCTGTTTGCTCGGATCCTCCTCCCTGCAGCCTTCCTATTGGCCTGTATCCTGCAGCTGCACTATTTCAACCAGGACTTCCTGGATCTCACCGACCTGGACAACATACCTGTCCGCCAGGGACAAACCAGGTGGGACAGCTAACCTGATCACAACCCCTGGGATAATTAAGCAATAAGGCCCGAGAGGGTGTGGTATATGGCCAACATACCACAGCTAAGGGCTGTTCTTATACAACGCAGAGTGCCTTGATACAGGCCTTAGCTCTGGTATATTGACCATATTCTACAAACCCCCGAGGTGCCTCTTATTGCTATTATAAACTGGTTACCAACGTAATTAGAAGAGTAAAAATAAATGTTTGATACCCGTGATATACCACGGCTTTCAGCCAATTAGCATTCAGGGCTTCGAACCACCTAGTTTATAATGTGCTTTATATCAGGGAGAAGGGAACTGTTACTAGTCCATCAAAGTGGTCCTCTCATGTCATTTTCATGTCAACTGTTCTTTTTAGAGGCATTTAAAGGTCCAATGCTGCTGTTTTTATCTCAATATCAAATCATTTCTGGGAAACAATTGAGTACCTTAGTGTGATTTTTTTCAATTTAAATGGTCAACAAGAAACAAAAAAAGCTTCTTAGCAAAGAGCAATTTCTCAATCAATAATTTTGCTAGGACTGTCTGGGAGTGGTCTGAGTGGTGAGGTGAAAACAGAAAACGAGCTGTTATTGGCAGAGAGGTTTGGAACTCTCTTTCTTATTGGTCTATTAACTAATTTACCGCCTGGTGATGTCTTCCCACCAAAACAGGCTGACATTTCGGGTGTTCTCAAACAGCTCTTACACTAAAAGAGCATTATCAACATTTTCACAATTTCAATGTATTATTCCAACCTCACAGTGTGGAAATATATATAAAACACAGGAAAATTATGTTTTTGACTGCACTGGGCCTTTAATAAAACAAATATGTACAATGGCATAATCAGTATAATCTCCATTTACTGTAGAGAAATATTGAAAATGGAGTAAATTAATGTAATGATGTGATTGCTCCAATCATGTTTAATCCTCGCTGGAGTTGTTCTTTCCTTTCTTTGGAAAACATGCTGTCATTCTCCACTCATCTCTATGTTGTGTCTCATCCATTCTGTCCATCTCTCTTCATCCAGAGAGGAAGAGCTGAGGAACTCAATCAATGTGATAGCTGACATGTAAGAGCTGCATTTGTGTCTCCATGAATGGCATGCTTCACACACGGTGGTTTGCCCAGTGTTTCAGAAATCTTAAACACCCTTAGTTGGGCAAACTTACAGTATAAAAAAGGAGTTGAGCTGTTTTGATAATGTGTTGCATTAATATACAGAGAAGGCCCATTTTAATGGGCAAAAATATATTTGGGTGATATAATTTCATTCCATCAGTCCATTATGAATTCTTAAAAATGTTAATGCAGTCTTTTTCAGATAATTTAAAATAATGTTAGCACTCTAAGTACAATGTTTAACTGATGTTTATTTTTCCTCAGAATTAAAGAAAACATTGAAAAGTTACAGAAACGGTACATTTTTCCATACATTTTCTTCCATTACATGTATTGTATCATTATTCTACAGTGTGTTCTGTATATAGTGTATTACTTCTTCCATGACTTGCCTACCGTCTCCCTGCTAGGATGGCGAAGGAGCACAGTAAGCAGATGAGTGGGGAGTCAGGACGTGTGGGGAGTCAGCACACATTGGACAGTGATGGACTGTCTGCCTCATCAGAGAAGAAACCAGAGGAGGAGCAGGAGGGAACAGGTGTGTGCCACTGAGATTCAGATTCTAATTTACTGTACCAAAAGTAAGCTTATTTTAACAGCACATATACAATACAAAACAAATATGCCACATAAACAGCACAGCATATCACATATTTTATCTGACCCTGAGTTTGGTGTCCTTGTTGTGTCCGCTAGGCCCCCCAGAGGAGCGTCTGACCCAGTGGGGGTTGATAGTGGACCGGGCCGGCCTGCTGCTGCTCCAGGCTCTGGCTGTCTTCCAGCGGGCTCAAGAGATAGGCTGGAGGCTGCTGGAGCTCCACAGCCTCAAGATCGTCTCTACCGGCATCATCTGGGTGTCCCTGCAAGAGGTCAGATGTCTTTACGTGACTGACCCTGAAACACCATGATTTCACCACATATGCTGTGTAGGGGGTCTGCAGTAAACATGAGTTTTCATTCTTTGTGTTCCTTTACCCAAGGTGTCTCTGATGAACTTCCTGTTTCTGGTACTGTGGGCCTTTGCCCTGCCCTTCCCCCGGCTCCGCCCCATCGCCTCCAGTGTGTCGTCAGTCTGGACCTGTGTCATGGTGGTGTGTAAGATGCTGTACCAGCTCAAGGTCATCAAACCTCTGGAGTACTCCTCCAACTGTACCACTGTGAGTTCACTTACCACTAGAATGCCCAACACTGATCAAATACTGACTAATTCATTATTCTGTAGCATCAATATCTACTCGGTAATGGTTGGCTCCCAAGGGCATTATGTGATGTTTTAGACACAATGGACTGTGTGTGTGTGACTATCTACATTTACAGTAGTATGTGTCTCTGTGTGTCTGCAGAGCCTGGTGTCAGCTAACGGGACGGGGCTGGAGCTGGAGGGGAACATGGCAGAGCTGCTGAGGAGGTCTGCGCTGTATGTGAAGCCTGTTGACCCAGCCATATGGTGTGGAGAGCTGCGCAAGTGTGAAGACAGGATACTGCCCTGTCTCAGGGTAAGACAAGCTTCTCACTCAGTGTCTGTGGTTATTTAGTAATATTGATGTCATTTGTCAGTCATGCCATGCACTGTATGGCCATGAAAGCCATTGAAAGAGAGATATTGAGATGTATGCATTTTAATAACAGATTAATACATAATGGTAAGTACGGTACATAGAAATGAATATCCTATTGTTAGTGTGGTAGCTTCATTAATATGTGGTTCTATCGTCTGAGTGTTCTTTGGTTGTGTTTTTCTTTGATGTCAGAACCACCTGATGGTGCTGGGGCTGCTGATGTTTGAGGTGACGGTCCATAGACACCAGCTCTACTATCGCCTCCGCAACGACCTCAAGGTTCCCACCTTCAGCATCATCTTCCAGGGCATCACACGCCAGCACCTGGACCACGGCATCCTGCCCTGCATCAAATACTTCATCAACTACTTCTTCTACAAGTTTGGCCTGGAGGTACAGTAGCTATAACCGATATAACTATTTTACTGTAGCTTCCATTTGAGATTTGTATGAGATTTGTAGTGACTGTGCTGTTAATCTATATGTTTTCATTTTGGAGGATCATCATGTCACAGTGGTTGCATAGCTCTTTGAGATGGTCTTCCTGTCCCTCAGGTGTGCTTTGTGGTGGCGGTGAATGTGATTGGCCAACGGATGGATTTCTACGCGCTGCTGCACTCCTGTGCTCTGATAGCTGTTCTGTCACGACGACGCAGGAAGGCCATGGGGGAGGTGTGGCCTAAGTACTGCTGCTTCACTGCAGGACTCATGGTGCTGCAGTACCTGCTCTGTATCGGCATCCCTCCCGCTCTCTGTGTCGGTAAGGAGAGATATCTGGAGATTACAATGTACTACAGTAGTAAATACACCATAGTTGAGGTGTGATTAGGATTTGAGTCACACGATTGCATATTACGTAGGCCTCATACTAAAGTTACTGCCAGTGTAATAACATGTAGTTACCCTGTGATGGAATAGTAAGTAGGCTACACAGAGTGATGGAATTGTTTCCATCACTGCTTTCTTAATCTTCTCCTCTATCTGTCAGATTATCCATGGAGAACCTCCAGTCAGGCCTTGACCTCCAACCTCATCAAGTGGCTTTATCTGCCTGACTTTGCCATGCGTCCTGCCCCTTCTTTCATTTTCTGTGAGTCTCTCTGTCTTCCTCCCAGCCATTTCCAATTTCAGAAATTTTGGGGAAATCTCCCATTTACATTCTTTCTTGATTTACATGAAAGTATGAATGCATATCTCAAGGATTCAGGCCATTGTCTACTATATGTAGTGTGTAATGAAATCCCTTCATACACCATCAATCTGGAGCTCCGACATACACTATATGTACAAAAGTATGTGGACACCCTTTAAATTAGTGGATTAAGCTATTTCAGCCAGACCCGTTGCTAACACGTGTATAAAATCGAGCACACCGCCATGCAATCTCCATAGACAAACATTGGCAGTAGAATGGCCTTACTGAAGAGCCCAGTGACTTTCAACGTGGCACCGTCATAGGATGCCACCTTTCCAACAAGTCAGTTCGTCACGTCTGCCCTGTTAGAGCTGCCTCGGTCAACTGTAAGTACTGTTATTGTGAAGTGGAAATGTCTAGAAGCAACAACGGCTCAGCTGCGAAGGGGTAGGCCACACAAGCTCACAGAACGGGACCGCCAAGTGCTACAGCATACAATGACATTCTAGACAATTCTGTGCTTCCAACTTTGTGGCAACAGTTTGGGGAAGGCCCTTTCCTGTTTCAGCATGACAATACCCCTGTGCACAAAGTGAGGTCCATATAGAAATAGTTTGTCGAGATCGGTGTGGAAGAACTTTTGGTCATGTAGTGTAAGTGATCAAGGCAGCAATTTTGTTTTTCTGTGTGTCCAGATGACCACCTCCTGCTCCTGTGCTCCTCGCTGCAGTGGAACATGTTTGAGGAGGAGAACCGTGCCGCGGTGCGCCTTATGGCGGGGGAGAACGTGGAGATCAGCCGCAGCTTGGACCCGCGCTCCTTCAACCAGTACATCCCTGTCAACAACTTCCTCCACTGCAGGTCAGAGGACTCTCTAAGCTAGCGTGGTCGCAGACCTGTGAGTGCTTTAGACAACTCTTTGGACAACTCCTTTATCGTTTTCCTACAGCCTACAACTAGGGCCCAGAGCTTTTTCCAGTCAGGTCAAATGATATGGACAAACTCCTGCACCTACTCAGATGGTAATATGGATGTAAATGTGTCTCTCCTTACCTCAGGTCCTACCTGGACATGGTCAAGGTGTTTGTTTTCAGCTACTTCTTCTGGCTGGTGCTGTGCCTCATCTTCATCACAGGCACCACCCGCATCAACATCTTCTGCCTGGGCTACCTGCTAGCCTGCTTCTACTTCATGCTGTTCGGGGGCAGCCTGCTCATGCAGCCTGTACGATACATCCTCAGGCTCTGGGACTGGCTCATCGGATACACCTGCTTCGTCATCGGCATGAAGAACCTGCTATCTGTATGTTAGCTAGCAAATCACTCACTGTCTCAGCTAGCCGTTCCTCAAACCTAGCCTATCCTTGTTGCTGAAAGTGTTTTTTCATTCATATACTGTGTGTACCACATTGTATTATGCTAAAAACACAGTCGGTTTTAATCACTCGTCAATGCTAACTGCCTTTTCTGTGTTGGTGCAATAATCTAGTCTTCATTCTTTGATGCTAATGTAACAGCTTCACTTACTACTCTCACTGTCTCATGTCAAGTCTTCTGTCTCCTCTGAGCTATCTGTCTTGCTGTATGTGTGTGTCCACAGCTTGGCTCATGCGCTTATCTGGACAGCCTGTTGAAGAATGGCTGCTGGCTCATTCAGGCCTTCAGCATGGTCTGTACAATCAAAGGCTATGATCTCCGTAAGTCTGACTGATAATACCCATTAACACACTGTGTGTGTATGTGTGTGTGTGTGTGTGTTGTTGTGCATTTGTGTAGCCTGTCCTATCTGTGTCTGTGTGTTTAGCTACGTGCACACCTGCGTGTGTGCTTACATATGTGTGTATATGTGTGTGTGTTCCCAGCTGCTCCTGATGATGAGTGTGAGCTGCCGGAGGGGGAGGCTGGCATCGTGTGGGATGCGATCTGCTTCACCGTGCTCCTAGCTCAGAGGAGGGTTTTCCTCAGCTACTACTTCCTGTATGTGGTGTCTGACCTCAGGGCCTCCAAGATCCTGGCCTCCAGGTTAGAATCATTTAGTTACTGACCTGACCACTTCCTTACCAATGATTTAAGATGATTTTAGAATGCTTTGGTACTATTGGAAATAGTAATGTTTTGAGACAACAGCTTGTTAATCTATTGAATGGAACCAGCTGAATGTAAGTCCTTATAGGTTGTTTGTCTTTCATATTTCAAGGGGTGCTGAGCTCTTTGAAGCCAAAGTGAAGAAACTGGTTGCTGCAAGACTGGAGATGGAGAAGAAGTCTGTGGAGACGCTGAAGAAGCAGTAAGACTTATGCCACAGCAGTTTGTTTGTTCTCATCTAGTTTTCAGTCAAAGGGGTTTGCTATTGTTGCATTGTTTTAATTCACTGTGTTGAACCCTTCCTCTAGGATGGAGAAGATCAAATCCAAACAGAAGAGTAAGCCTGGCCAAGGAGACGCAGCAGCGCCCCCTACTGATATAGTGCCAAAGGGTGAGCGTCATGGAGCTAGTAGAAGTTGTCCATAACCACTGATGAAGGGTCAGTTCTTATATGTATACTCTTTGATCTGATATTTGTATTTCCCCCTACTAGAATTGGGGGGTAAGATAGTCTGATCCTAGCTCTGTGGTTAGGGGCAACGTCTACCTCCAGCTTTAATATTAGATTCAATAACACTAACTACTAAAACTGCTCAAATCGCTTTACATTCTAAGGTGGTGGGAGACTCAACTCATCATGGTCATTATTCTTCTTATTCTCACTGAATGAAAGGATACATTTATGATGGAGGGATGGGATGAATGGGTGAATATGTTTTCCAGGTGAAATTGAGAAGTCAGAGAATGATCAGGAGAAATGGTGGAAACCATGGGTCTCACGGCCTGGTGGTAAGTGTTCCATAAACCTAAGTAATAAGATTCAGATTTGTTCAGTTACAGACAGAACCTTCAATAGGGGGATATGGTTTGATCATTTTCATTTCATCTCATTATGAATAGTCTGTTTTTAATTCAAATTCAAGTAATTTTAAGTGATCAAAACAGTTCACATGCTGCAATAGTATAAGGTAGAATGAGCAGGAGTTCATGTCTTTGTTGTTTTACACTTCTGTCTTTCCTTCAGTTGGGAACGACTGTGGCTACCATCTATTTGAGAGTGACAGTGAAGAGGAAGAGGAGGAAGTCCAGGAAAAGAAAGAGGAAGAGGCACCACCAAAGAAGAAATCTGCTTTTCAGGTGAGGGACATAGAAGACTAACTACAAGAGTAGTAAAATAATATTTGGGTACGTTGTTGAATGTGATGTCAAGCTGTGTGCCTCCTTTCTCCACAGTTAGCCTATGAGGCATGGGTCACAAGCTCCAAAGCAGCCCTGAATTTGCACGAAAAAGAGGAGAAGAGGAGGGCAAAGAAACAGCTGCAGAGACAGCAAGGTAAGAGGGGCTGGTCTGTATGGGACTGTTTGCATAATGTTGTCATAGAGACAGAATAACTAATGTATTATTTTGTGTCGTCATGATTTTCATTGTCTGATCCAAGGCATTGAGAGGGCGGAGTCTAGTGAGGATGAGTTGGAGGTGGAAGAGGAAGAGGAAGCGGAGGAGAAAGGTAAACATTCCACCTCAACAGACCCTTTATGGATATACAGTAGAAGAACTCTAGAAGTCTGTGTACTGCCACTAACTTGATACAATGTTTCTGTCCTCTCACAGAAAATATATTTCAGAGGATCATCGACTCGCTCAAGTTTTTATGGGTGTTTATCCTGTCCCTTCTGGATGACCTCACTGAGGGCCTGAACTCCTTCTGCAAAGATGGTCTGGACATCTCCAAAGTGCTACGCTTTGAAAGGGCTCTTCTAGGCCAGCAACAGAAGAAGGTGAAGTAACATTCATCTACAGGGGATACGTCATTTGACTTGTAAACCTCTGTTTTAAGTTATGTCCTGCCTGCAGTGTTGACAAAAATAAAAGGTATAATCTTTTCCCGGTTCCTTTTACAGGGGAAAGAGGTGTCACAGGAGAGCGTGAAGCGCTTCTATGAGAATTGGATGTCCAGACAGAACACCCTGGCTTCCCTGGAAGACCAGGAAGACATAGTTCCCCCCGTCTCCTCCCCTCCACCTGTACCATCATCACCACGAGGTTACTCCAAGCTGAAACACGGCCACTCCAAAATCTCCTGGGGTAGCAGCTTGTCCAGGTCAGCATTGATGTAACACCTATAGAGTCATGATTCGTTCATTCATTAAATTAATTCCTATTCCATTAGCAGGCTGCATGTATTATACAGAACCGATCACTCTTTTATTTATTATTGAGTATTTCTACTATTATGCTATTCTGCATTATAACCTCTTTATGGAGGCTTTATGAATGGCTTCATAGGACCAGGATGGTCAACATGTTTCCCTGTCATCATGTCTTAGCTGCATGACGGATGAGACCCTGCTGGGGTCTCGTCAGCCCACTCTGGATGAGCTGGATGACCCTCCTATACTCCAGCCCGCTGCCGACCAACTCAGACGGAAACTACTGAAGACTGCCAACCTGGACCTTGGCTCATTTGACACCGAAGACCCTCCACCAAGGTGATGGTGACACTTATGCACTTATGGTTTCCTCTGCTCTGTATATCGTACACCATTATTCAAGATGGCACCGATGGAGAAGGTGGCCGTTTTGCCAGCTCCTCCTCAACAAATAAACTCTGATTTTATTTGACTTACTGTATATTTGGTTTCATATCTACTAACTCTCTATACCCCTTTATAAACTCATAGTGTGTTTGACTCCATCTTATATCCATCTTTCTTTCTGAATTACATTTTCCATCAGCCATGACGATACTGTTCCCAATAAGGAGGACAGTAAAGAAGGAGAGGATGCATATGAAGAAGAGGAGGGGGAGTATAAAGAGGAGGAGGAGTATAGAATGGAGGAGGAGGAATGGAGGGAGGAAGAAGAGGAGGAGAGGGAAAAAGCTGTGATGCTTTCAGGATCCATCTCCCTGGACTATCTGGAGTGTGATGAGAATAGCGAAGATTTCCCAGACTCCCCCAGGCCTCTGAGTGAGACCAGGAACCTCACGGCCAGCGAGCTACTGCTCAACAAGTCAGTCAATGGAGATTGGGACTTTGTGGTTTTTCTTGTTACAGTCGTGGTATAGTCAAGTGTACCCATTCAGTTGTATCACAGTACCTCATAGTAAAGTAAAGTTGAGTATCACAAAAATCTTTTAAATCTTTCTCACGTACTGTGATTCTCCTCTATTGCAGCATGTTTGGTAACGATGAAATCGAAGCGTCTGATCAGTTCTTCCAGTCTCTTCCAAGACACCTGAGACTGGTGTTTGCCTTGTACAACACCATGGTGTCTAAGTCAGAGATGCTGTGCTACTTTGTGATCATCCTGAACCACATGGTGTCAGCCTCGCTGCTCAGTCTGATCCTGCCCATCCTTATCTTCCTCTGGGCCATGCTGTCTGTGCCACGCCCAACCAAGCGCTTCTGGATGACTGCCATCATCTACACAGAGGTACGCACAGCAGGCACACCCAACGGAGTGATATGTTGATTAGTTGGTTGGCTGGTTGGTTGACTATTTAGATCGATGGTTGATTATATATAATATACACTATAAATACAAAAGTATGTGGACACCTCTTCAAATTAGTGGATTCGGCTATTTCAGCCGTACTGTTGCTGACAGGTGTATAAAATCGAGGACACAGCCATGCAATCTCCATAGACAAACATTGGAAGTAGAATGGCCTTACTGAAGAGCTAAGTGACTTTCAACATTATTTCAACAGTAACTGTCATAGGATGCCACCTTTCCAACAAGTCAGATCGTCACATTTCTGCCGTGCTAGAGCTGCCCCGGTCAACTGTAAGTGCTGTTATTGTGAAGTGGAAATGTCTAGGAGCAACAACGGCTCAACGGTGAAGTGGTAGGCCACACAAGCTCACAGAATGGGACCGCCAAGTGCTGAAGCGCATAGCGCATAAAAATCGTCTGTCCTCGAATGCAACACTCACTACCGAGTTCCAAACTGCCTCTGGAAGCAACATCAGCACAATAACTGTTCGTTGGGAGCTTCATGCCTAAGATCACCATGCGCAATGCCAAGCGTCGGCTGGAGTGGTGTAAAGCTCACCGCCATTGGACTCTGGAGCAGTGGAAACGCATTCTCTGGGGTGATGAATCACGCTTCACCATCTGGCAGTCTGACAGACGAATCTGGGTTTGGCGGCTGCCAGGAGAATGCTACCTGCCCGAATGCATAGTGCCAACTGTAAAGTTTGGTAGAGGAGGAAAAATGGTCTGGGACTGTTTTTCATGGTTCGGGCTAGGCCCCTTAGTTCCAGTGAAGGGAAATATAAACCCAAACCATACAATGACATTCTAGACGATTCTGTGCTTCCAACTTTGTGGCAACAGTTTGGGGAAGGCCCTTTCCTGTTTCAGCATGACAATGCCCCCATGCACAAAGCGAGGTCCATACAGAAATGGTTTGTTGAGATCAGTGTGAAAGAACTTGACTGGCCTGCACAGAGCCCTGACCTCAACCCCATCGAACACCTTAGGGATGAATTGCAACGCCGAGTGCGAGCCAGGCCTAATTGCCCAACATCAGTGCCCGACCTCACTAATACTCGTGGCTGAATGGAAGCAAGTCCCCGTGGCAATGTTCCAGCATCTAGTGGAAAGCCTTCCCAGAAGAGTGGAGGCTGTTATAGTAGCAAAGGGGGGACCAACTCCATATTAATGCCCATGATTTTGGAATGAGATGTTCGACGAGCAGGTGTCCACATACTTTTGGTCATGTTAGTGTATATATATAATATATAATAATATAATATAATAATATATGGCATGTAGCAGACACTTTTATCCAAAGCAACTTACAGTCATACGTGCATACATTTTATGTAAGGGTGAATGATGATTCCTATCTCTTCCAGCTGATTGTGGTGGTGAAGTATTTTTTCCAGTTTGGCTTTTTCCCCTGGACCACCTCGGCCTACCGAGGCATCAACGCAGACCGGCCCTTTGCTCTGCCCAACATCATTGGGGTGGAGAAGAAAGATGGCTATGTTGTCTTTGACTTGATACAACTCCTGGCTCTGTTCTTCCATCGCTCTATTCTAAAGGTACTGACATGAATGCTGGTTTCTGTGTTACATCATATAAAAGATACTAAAGCACAACTTTTTTTACATTTAAATGTTTAGTCATTTAGCAGACGCTCTTATCCAGAGCGACTTACAGTTAGTGAGTGCATACTTATTTTTTTTCATACTGGCACCCCGTGGGAATCAAACCCACAACCCTGGCGTTGCAAGCGCCATGCTCTACCAACTGAGCTACACAACTTCTTCTGTCCGTAGTGCCACGGTCTTTGGGATAACAAAGAGGTTGAGATGCCGGACTTCTTCAAGAAGTTAAAGAAGAAGACGGAGAAGAAGAAGATGAGTGGAGGAGACAAAGCAGGGGATCAGCCGAAGCGAAGACTGCCCTTCCTTCCTCTACAGGCCTCAACTGCATCCTTGTTTCGCAGACGGGGAAAAGCCAACTCCACTGAGTCAAACGGTACATACATTCAGTAGCCTAAACATAGTGCTGAACTAATCCGTTTGTTTGAGAGTGTATTGAAGTTGAAATGGGGTGTTGCCTGGCCAGATGGGAAATGTTACCCAATATACTAATGTATTTAGATGTAAATGGTATATTCTTGCAGATGATATGCAGCACAAAAAGCGCCACTCAAAGAAGAAGAGGCACCACAATAAAGTGCCCCTGACCAGGAAGGAGAGGATCAAGAAGCTGATCCGAGAAAGGATGCTGGAGACTAAAGCTGCTATCATAGAAGTGTGAGCATTTAGCACTCTATACTTACGGATATGTCTTGTAGGTGTATTCTGTTACTTTCATTCCATATCCCCGGTGATAACTGGCAGTTTACAAACAAATCCTGGAGGCAGGACTTTTGACTGGACATGAATGCATCTTTAAGAACTGGTTTCAAAATGAATGGATATTTTCAGCCATGGTCCTCTTTTGTCTTCGCAGTGCCCTGCACATATACCTACCTATCAGGCAGTTCTTCTATGACATCATTCACCCAGAGTACAGCCCAGTGTGTGATGTCTACGCTCTCATGTTTCTGATTGACGTAATCAACTTCATTGTCATCATATTTGGATACTGGGCTTTTGGGGTAAGAAAAGAGAGAAAAGAGAATACCTGTCTGAGTCAGAATTGAATTTGGAAAGCTATTTGGCCTACTTGTTTCAAGTGGATTTCTTTCACTGTTTTCTTTTTGTGTCGGAACAGAAACACAGTGCTGCTGCTGACATCACAGATGCTATTGGGGAGGACCAGGTCCCATCGGCCTTCCTGGTCATGCTGCTCATCCAGTTTGGGACCATGATAGTGGACCGTGCTCTCTACCTCCGCAAAACCCTCATGGGAAAATGTGTCTTCCAAGTGGTGCTGGTGTTTGGTATCCACTTCTGGATGTTTTTCATACTCCCCGGGGTGACTGAGAGGTCAGAGTGAATGTTAATTAATTTACCGTTTAATTACAGTGTGAATAAACGTGTAATAATCAAAAAAGGAGCTGCTTATTGACCTTTTTCATGGTCATTCTCTTGTGTTCTAGGAGGTTCAACATGAACCAGGTGGCACAGTTGTGGTACTTTGTGAAGTGCATCTACTTTGGCCTCTCTGCCTACCAGATCAAGTGTGGCTACCCAAATCGTGTGCTGGGAAACTTCCTGACCAAGAACTATAACTACCTCAACCTATTCCTCTTTCAAGGGTACAGTCAATGCTCTATGATAGATAAACAAAGGCAGACCAGAACATCCCATAATACCAGAGTTGTCACACAGAGATAGATAGAGGACTCTAGGGTCCAAAAGCCTGTTTTAACATGGGCAGCGCCATTAAGGACTTTCACCATTTTGAAGTAGTCAACTGGGTGGGACTTTCTATGGGAAATGATCACATCAGTCCTGATAGATGTACACACACACACACACACACACACACACACACACACACACACACACACGAACACTACATGTTCATGTTTTAAATGTATGTAAATTGTAAAGTATTTTGTTTGTAATGTCTTTTTCGTTATGTGTCATACGCCAGTAAGACTAGCTGTCGCCATTGGCGTCGGCTAATGGGGATCCTAATAAATAAAAAAATCCAGGTCATCAGGAGGGATCAGCCAATTAATTATACTTGTGAGAAAACATTCCATAACTGCAGGTGGCAGTAAATCACCAACCTTGGCTTTATAACTCATGTGGCAGTATGCAACCTTTCAGTTTGTTTGCCAACTCATAGTAGTAGAACAATAAAATGGACTAAAACCAAGATGGCCTCAATGGCCCTGCCCATGCTCTCACAGACGCCATAATGGGACATACTCAATGGCCCTGCCCATGCTCTCACAGACGCCATAATGGGACATATTCAATGGCCCTGCCCATGCTCTCACAGACGCCATAATGGGACATATTCAATGGCCCTGCCCATGCTCTCACAGACGCCATAATGGGACATATTCAATGGCCCTGCCCATGCTCTCACAGACGCCATAATGGGACATATTCAATGGCCCTGCCCATGCTCTCACAGACGCCGTAATGGGACATATTCAATGGCCCTGCCCATGCTCTCACAGACGCCATAATGGGACATATTCAATGGCCCTGCCCATGCTCTCACAGACGCCATAATGGGACATATTCAATGTTGTGTCCTCTAACTATCTCTATGGGTTGTCCCTGTCTCCTCCTCAGGTTCCGCCTGGTTCCGTTCCTCATAGAGCTGCGTGCCGTGATGGACTGGGTCTGGACTGACACCACCCTCAGCCTGGGCAGCTGGATCTGTGTCGAGGACATTTATGCCAACATCTTCATACTCAAGTGCTGGAGGGAGTCGGAGAAGGTAACTGGGATGCCGATAGGCTGGTAGCAGTTGTCAGTCTCAAACTCATCTCCATAGAGAGTAGATCTGACTGATAGTTGATGGTGAATCACTGTAGAATTAAAGGGGTTTTATCTGTCTTCATGTTTGTTTGATATCTATGTACACTAGACTAAGTATCAAGAACAATTGTGGGCAAATAATTACAACTTGAACTAACTGAAATTGTGTTGAACTATGAATCATTTGTCTCTTTCATTTGTACAGAAATACCCACACACCCCAGGGCAGAAGAAGAAAATGGTGGTGAAGTATGGAATGGGCGGCTTCATCATATTCTTAATCATCAGCGTCATCTGGTTCCCCCTCCTCTTCATGTCATTGGTCAAGTCAGTGGCTGGGGTGACCAATCAGCCTCTTGATGTCTCCATTCAGCTCAGCATAGCAGGATATGAGGTATAGATGATCCCATCAGCTCACAATCTTTCTATTTTTGTAAAATGTTCTCCTTCTGTGAGACTGTTAGTTCTGATGTTGTTTTCTGTGTGTGTTTTATACAGCCACTGTTCACAATGAGTGCCCAGGAGCAGAACCTGGTGCCATACTCACAGGCCGGCCTCAACCGGCTCACCAACCTCTATGCCACTCACCCGGTAAGAGGATCTCGTTACAACAAGTTGCAAGTTTGAGGGGCTGTGGAATTGACCCTAAGGACCTCTGACATACTCTTCTCTCTAACTCTCTCTCAGTCAGCCATGCAGTTCCTTGTGAACTACATGGCCGAGGACATTGTCATTGCAAAGATCAAGAGTGATGCCAGTCTGCTGTGGAGCATCAGCCCTGCCAGCCGTGATGCTATGATCCATGAACTCAGCAACTCCACCCACATCTACATCACCCTGCGATGGGTACTACTCAGGTACAGTGTAGCAGGGTTGGATAGGGGTCTGGGTTGGTTATATGTGAATGGGGTATATAACACCGTTAAGGCTTGAGGTCCGACTTTTTGACCTTGTGTTAAAGCTAAGATCGTATTATTTGTGCTATAAACATATGCCATATGATACAGCCATAATAAACAACTTAACTAGTTAGTGATAGTGGTAGTGATTTCACTCTGTGTATGTGTGTGTATGTGTGCCCCTCCACCCCAGGAATGCGTCTCTGTCGATGAACGTGGAGACCGCGGGGGAACACACTGTCAAGTATGAGGACCGGGCCTTGAGGGACCAGATAGTTCAGATGCTCAAAGGGACACACAATGACTCTGTGTGAGTCTGATCATCACAGCACTCTCACCACATCATCAACTGTTACATGTGTTTACAGCCACAGTCAACATGACATTTACATTTTACATTTTAGTCATTTAGCAGACGCTCTTATCCAGAGCGGCTTACAGTTAGTGAGTGGATACATTTTCATACTGGCCCCCCGTGGGAAACGAACCCACAACCCTGGCGTTGCAAGCGCCATGCTCTACCAACTGAGCTACATAACTGTCAATAAAATAACCTACAATCTGAAAGCTAGTTGTAGAAGAACCTATTACACACAAAAGAACTCCAACTACAAAAGATATGATCACAATGGTAATAGAATGTTGGTGCTGATATGCGGTCATTCATTCTCTCTGCTAGGGTCATTGAGTCTCTCCTGCCCAAGTTCATCAGAGGTCCCGGAGGACTGGAGTCCAAGATGGCCACCCGTCTGGATGTAGGTAAGGGACCCTCTATCCAACCATCATACTGTACAGAAAATAAATTCAACAAATGCAGATGCTTGTATAACCATGGATCTTAACTAGTCAACTGAAGGTCATCGTCTCTGCTTCCCATTTATTCAAATCTTCCCTGTCCCATCTGTAACACCCCAGAACACTCAGATAGGCCTGAGGACCTCCAGATGTTGGCCTTCTACCGGCCCCTGTCCATCAAACTACAGCGGGCAGAAGACAATGGAAGTGCAGAGGGGGGTCAGTGGTGGATGGTGGAGGAATGCACTCCTGGACAGGGGCACGTCCAGAGCAGCTGCCACAGCATTGAGATAGTAGTGTTCAACGATAAAGTCAGCCCCTCCAGCCTGGGTGCTCTAGCAGGACAGGGGTAGGTAAAGAAAAAAACTCAATGCTGCCCCAGGCTGGAGGGGACTATCCCTTCAAAGTGGCAATCAGCAGTTGATACAGTGGGGAAAAAAAGTATTTAGTCAGCCACCAATTGTGCAAGTTCTCCCACTTAAAAAGATGAGAGAGGCCTGTGATTTTTATCATAGGTACACGTCAACTATGACAGACAAATTGAGGAAAAAGATTCCAGAAAATCACATTGTAGGATTTTTTATGAATTTATTTGCAAATTATGGTGGAAAATTAGTATTTGGTCACCTACAAACAAGCAAGATTTCTGGCTCTCACAGACCTGTAACTTCTTCTTTAAGAGGCTCCTCTGTCCTCCACTCGTTACCTGTATTAATGGCACCTGTTTGAACTTGTTATCAGTATAAAAGACACCTGTCCACAACCTCAAACAGTCACACTCCAAACTCCACTATGGCCAAAACCAAAGAGCTGTCAAAGGACACCAGAAACAAAATTGTAGACCTGCACCAGGCTGGGAAGACTGAATCTGCAATAGGTAAGCAGCTTGGTTTGAAGAAATCAACTGTGGGAGCAATTATTAGGAAATGGAAGACATACAAGACCACTGATAATCTCCCTCGATCTGGGGCTCCATGCAAGATCTCACCCCGTGGGGTCAAAATGATCACAAGAACGTTGAGCAAAAATCCCAGAACCACACGGGGGGACCTAGTGAATGACCTGCAGAGAGCTGGGACCAAAGTAACAAAGCCTACCATCAGTAACACACTAGGCCGCCAGGGACTCAAATCCTGCAGTGCTAGACGTGTCCCCCTGCTTAAGCCAGTACATGTCCAGGCCCGTCTGAAGTTTGCTAGATTGCATTTGGATGATCCAGAAGAGGATTGGGAGAATGTCATATGGTCAGATGAAACCAAAATATAACTTTTCGGTAAAAACTCAACTCGTCGTGTTTGGAGGACAAAGAATGCTGAGTTGCATCCACAAAGAACACCATACCTACTGTGAAGCATGGGGGTGGAAACATCATGTTTTGGGGCAGTTTTTCTGCAAAGGGACCAGGACGACTGATCCGTGTAAAGGAAAGAATGAATGGGGCCATGTATCGTGAGATTTTGAGTGAAAACCTCCTTCCATCAGCAAGGGCATTGAAGATGAAACGTGGCTGGGTCTTTCAGCATGACAATGATCCCAAACACACCGCCCGGGCAACAAAGGAGTGGCTTCGTAAGAAGCATTTCAAGGTCCTGGAGTGGCCTAGCCAGTCTCCAGATCTCAACCCCATAGAAAATCTTTGGAGGGAGTTGAAAGTCCGTGTTGCCCAGCGACAGCCCCAAAACATCACTGCTCTAGAGGAGATCTGCATGGAGGAATGGCCCAAAATACCAGCAACAGTGTGTGAAAACCTTGTGAAGACTTACAGAAAACGTTTGACCTGTGTCATTGCCAACAAAGGGTATATAACAAAGTATTGAGAAACTTTTGTTATTGACCAAATACTTATTTTCCACCATAATTTGCAAATAAATTCATTAAAAATCCTACAATGTGATTTTCTGGATGTTTTTTCCTCATTTAGTCTGTCATAGTTGACGTGTACCTATGATGAAAATGACAGGCCTCTCTCATCTTTTTAAGTGGGAGAACTTGCACAATTGGTGGCTGACTAAATACTTTTTTTCCCCACTGTACATCCAGTTTTGGACTTGTAAATTAATACTGTATGTACCTATTGATTCTTGAAGAATATAACTTATAAATGCCTCATGAGCTTAGTTCAACTGTCGTTCCCCATCAGAACCCAAAATATAAGCTTGTTGTACTCCATTGTCTGTAAACAAAATGTAAACAAACACTACATAGCCTCAAAACATGGTTAAAACTATAATTTTGATATCATGGATGATCACTCCTTGCATCCATAGCTGACAATGAATTTCAGTGGTTACATTTCTCCAGTTCCATCCCTCAGCTTTTTATCGAACCAGGGGCGGGGCGATTGCTTTGTTATTGTTTCTACTCCTGATTGACGCTTTGACTTGTTGATTTGTTCTCACTGCTAAATAAACTCTTTGTCCTCTTTTCCATGGAATCCCATATGCTAATGTTGCTTGTCTGGCCTCGACCTTCAACCTGATACCACCTCCTGCGCCATTCCACCTTGCTACGGTAGAATTGTGGGCCTGTACATGTCTGTGGTGCTGGTCGTTGGAAAGTTTGTCAGGGAATTCTTCAACGGTATATCCCGCTCCATCATGTTTGAGGAGCTGCCATGTGTGGACCGGGTGTTGAAGCTCTGCACGGACATCTTTGTGGTGCGAGAGACTGGTGAGATGGAGCTGGAGGAAACACTGTTTGAGAAGCTAATTTTCCTGTATCGCTCGCCGGAGACCATGATCAAGATGACCAGAGAGAAGAGACTAGAGAGCACAATTACATTTTAGTTACGAAAATGACCATTTGTTTTGTTTGTATTCCTACTGCATGCATTTTGAATCACTGACTACTTTTAATGATTCAAATTTTTACAAAGGAAGACCGTAGGCCATAATCATAGAAATGTGTTCCTAATGTGAAACTATTTAATTGAAGTCGAGATGCAACATTATGCAGTTTTAGATACAAATGTCTTGTATAGAGCTTACAGATGCACGTCTGCTCTACAGAATGTATTTATCTCAACATTCTGTAACTTTACACACCCCACTGAACACCACCCTGTTGCATTTCACTGAAAAGCTCATCTAGAAGTATTCACTCTCATTTCACACTGTACTCCATGTCCAGTATTTAATTCAATTAATAAAATAAAATAAAATAACATTCTGAGATTATGTCCTACTTTTACATATGACTCCTGAAGTGAAAATCCACTCACGGTCCATGTTGCCAGGTAAAGTATGCCTTTACAAAACAGGGGCAAACAAGAGTCATGGATGCAAGTTTAAGTAATCCAGCAGACATCTTTTAGATAGTAATTTTAATTCATTTTCTTAATTACAAATTAACGGAAAAACAACATGTCCATTCTGTTAGGTCCCCCATCTATCCACAAATCTAGATTTAACCCTTGCATGTTGGCCGGGACAGTGAAAAATCCTCTTGGTCCCGAAGAACATCCACTACATGTTGTATTCAGATCCTGCAAGATAAAGAGAGGAAAACGTGTCAAGTTAGACTGATCTTAGAAACTATGGACTATTGATGTTATCTAGCTATTTGTGCTAGTTGCTTGAGAACTGCAGATTATGAAAAGAGAGTAATGACCATATACAATCAGATAAATTATATATTGTCTATGGTGATTACTGTCTGTTGATAATCTGCAGTTCTGTAATGTTCTACAGTGAGGGAAAAAAGTATTTGATCCCCTGCTGATTTTGTACGTTTGCCCACTGACAAAGAAATGATCAGTCTATAATTGTAATGGTAGTTTTATTTGAACAGTGAGAGACAGAATAACAACAAAGAAATCCAGAAAAACCCATGTCAAAAATGTTATAAATTGATTTGCATTTTAAATGAGGGAAATAAGTATTTGACCCCCTCTCAATCAGAAAGATTTCTGGCTCCCATGTGTCTTTTATACAGGTAACGAGCTGAGATTAGGAGCACACTCTTAAAGGGAGTGCTCCTAATCTCAGCTTGTTACCTGTATAAAAGACACCTGTCCACAGAAGCAATCAATCAGATTCCAAACTCTCCACCATGGCCAAGACCAAAGAGCTCTCTAAGGGTGTCAGGGACAAGATTGTAGACCTACACAAGGCTGGAATGGGCTACAAGACCATCTCCAAGCAGCTTGGTGAGAAGGTGACAACAGTTGGTGCGATTATTCGCAAATGGTAGAAACACAAAAGAACTGTCAATCTCCCTCGGCCTGGGGCTCCATGCAAGATCTCACCTTGTGGAGTTGCAATGATCATGGAGAACGGTGAGGAATCAGCCCAGAACTACACAGGAGGATCTTGTCAATGATCTCAAGGCAGCTGGGACCATAGTCACCAAGAAAACAATTGGTAACACACTACGCCGTGAAGGACTGAAATCCTGCAGCGCCCGCAAAGCACATATACAGGCCCGTCTGAATTTTTCCAATGAACATCTGAATGATTCAGAGGAGAACTGGGTGAAAGTGTTGTGGTCAGATGAGACCAAAATCGAGCTCTTTGGCATCAACTCAACTCGCCGTGTTTGGAGGAGGAGGAATGCTGCCTATGACCCCAAGAACACCATCCCCACCGTCAAACATGGAGGTGGAAACATTATGCTTTGGGGGTGTTTTTCTGCTAAGGGGACAGGACAACTTCACCGCATCAAAGGGACGATTGACGGCGCCATGTACCGTCAAATCTTGGGTGAGAACCTCCTTCCCTCAGCCAGGGCATTGAAAATGGGTCGTGGATGGGTACTCCAACATGACAATGACCCAAAACACACGGCCAAGGCAACAAAGGAGTGGCTCAAGAAGAAGCACATTAAGGTCCTGGAGTGGCCTAGCCAGTCTCCAGATCTTAATCCCATAGAAAATATGTAGAGGGAGCTGAAGGTTCGAGTTGCCAAACGTCAGCCTCGAAACCTTAATGACTTGGAGAAGATCTGCAAAGAGGAGTGGGACAAAATCCCTCCTGAGATGTGTGCAAACCTGGTGGCCAACTACAAGAAACGTCTGACCGCTGTGATTGCCAACAAGGGTTTTGCCACCAAGTACTAAGTCATGTTTTGCAGAGGGGTCAAATACTTATTTCCCTCATTAAAATGCAAATCAATTTATAACATTTTTGACATGCGTTTTTCTGGATTTTTTTGTTGTTATTCTGTCTCTCACTGTTCAAATAAACCTACCATTAAAATTATAGACTGATCATGTCTTTGTCAGTGGGCAAACGTACAAAATCAGCAGGGGATCAAATACTTTTTTCCCTCACTGTACATCTATGATAATGACAAATACTTGACATGCTTAATAAATCAGACTGATTTAGTAGGCAAATACTTTATATGCTTACTTGGCAGCTGCAGTAAGTAGAACCAATATACAATCAGGTGTGATAGCCCAAGCACACAAGGCAATATTGTGTGATGGTTAGGAGGTGGTAGATGAATTCAATTATTATTTTCAAATATTGTAGTGATTTGTCCTTTCAATACTCACATGCTATAGCCTTTGGGACGTAGACTTTGACGCTGGACTCTGCAACTTTCATTGCCTCAACTTTGAACTGTGGTTTCAGTGCCGCGCGTACTGCACTCGCGCAGATCGCAGAGAAGCGAATGTAGCTGCAGCGGACACAGAGAGAAACACACTTTAGCCAGGGCTGCAAACTTTTGAAGAAAGCTTGGAGTGAGATCTACTATGTGAATTTCCTTGTCATCCCTGGCACAATATCTAGACTGGGCGATTGCGATCCTCCCCCAGGAAGATTGTACTGTTTTAAAGCTAATTACCTGCAATTCTACGTATTTTCACATGGCTTACGCCTATGACCAGGGTGGAAAAATAATACAAAAAATGCACAAAAAAACACAGGTCAGGTGTATTCAGGATACTTTGAGCATTAAATTAACACTCAATTCTATGACTTTGTTACTTTTAGATTTTGGGGGGATGAAATGAAAGTTTTTAGGTGGTTTGACACTTTATTCAGACAGTAATTAAATACGATAGAGACAGGGAAATGGGAGAAACAGTGGGAAGGTTGGAAGCAGGGATTGATCCCTGTTCTCAGGTGGAAAGTTGTATGCGACACGTGCCGGGGAGTGTTAACACTACTTCAAGGCTCTGCACAGGAAATACTCATATTAATGCTTGATGGCAGTGGTAACCAAATCATAGATTACAGTATCCTTGTCGATAGACTGCTTTTAAGGTAAGGACACAAACATTTTGTATTTTGTAATTTGGGTGAACAATCCCTTTTAAATAGGACTGAAAGAAAATCCTGCTTGCGCTCCAGGAAGGTTGGCCACCCCTGATCTGTTTCCCGAGTGCTGGGTATTTGAAAATGTTCTTGCTATAACAATTACTTTCTCAAAATCACCCAACCTTTAAGAAAATCGAATGAATATCAATATTCAGGTAGTTTATGCCTACTAGTGGAAGATCCTTGCCATCATCTTACTCTACATAGGATGTTTATGAGTTGTGAGTTCCCCTTGATCGCTTACAAAACTAGACCAATCATATGCTTCAATGTGCCGCGGTTCTCATGGGAAACACGCTACTTTAGCTAGCTCTTCAAGTTCGTTGAACGTCTTATCATTTCGGCTAGCTAGCTGGATATCAATCGCACCAGAGCTCTCAAGCAAATATGCAATTTAGTAGCTACATCATTTAAGTGCCTTACCTTACAATCAGAATACACACAAAATGTGACATTGTTAAATATAGAATACATTTACCTAAGGCCCGCTTGTCTCCAGTATGCAACCATTTTGCCAGTGATGTTCCGCTCAAGGACAACTCGGATATGTGTATAATGACAGAGAGGAAGAGGCGAGAAATGACGTCGCTAGGGTTGACACGCTTCCTGGGGCGGGACTTTCAGTCTGCGCTTTGTGATCGACAGAATCTGAAATCTGGTACAAACAGCTTTTTCACATTATGTAGCTAAGCGGATTTGAGTTCTTATTTATGCTACATTTGGCTCTGTTCGAAATAAGGTGCACTCTCCTCTGAAATACGCGTCCGGAAAATTACAGACATTTCAATGCATGTTATTCGGTCATTTTTTACTATGAAGGACCAGGGAGGGTCGGATGACATACTTCTGGTCGCCACCAGATGGAGCACCACTAGTAGGGCAAGTTGGCAACATCGTTTCCTCTATAGCTGCTGTCACGCTTTCTTAAGTCACCGGCGCCCAAGCTCCGACAAAACGGTCTAAAACATGAAGATCTGGACCTCAGAACACATATTCAAGTGAGTAATTTATTAATTTTCACAATGTTGAATTTTTTTAAAAATTGAAATACCTTGAAATTAGCTATCTTATTGAAGTTTGTAGCTAGGTTAGCAACCAGCCAGTTAGTGCGCGTTAGCTCTTTGACTTTAGCCAACTAGCTTCTGGTACAAGTTAATGGGTTTTAGGTAGCAAACAGCTAACGTTAGCCATCTATTTTGGCTAGCCAACACATAAAACTTCCTATTTACCATTACTAAACCAGACAAATAATTATAGCTAGCTAGCTAACGATGCAACAAAGACGGTACAGTATGTGACTGCAAGCTAGCTAGCCACATTACAGTATCTTTGACATTACATTAGTTGGCCACATTACTGATATTACATTAGTTAGCCACATTACAAGTAGCTAACTGTTAGCCCGAAGTTTCCAGCAGAATGTCACGGGATTCCGGTGCTTTGATTTTAGCTAACAGTTACTTGTTTAAGGTCATGTGAATTCATGTATTAATCGAATTTGAGCTCAATGTCCTTTTGATGATGTCCCGTGCCGCACCAGGCATGCACTCTCTGAGACTGGAATACATGTATTTCTATTCCAACTAGCTATGCTGGAGGCTCAGTCAATGGTGGAAACATGGTTGTTATGTCACTATATATTCAGGGCTTAATGCTCTTTGGGGAATTAATTGAGTGAGGAAATGCCTCCGTTTACAACACACATCATGAATATGGATTGTAAACAACTTTATTGTAAAGTAAAAAAAGAAACATTGTCAAGGTCAAATCAAGAACTCTTACTTGTCTTACTGAACCCATAATGCATGTTTCTTAACCCAATCCACATCACACAGTACAATAATGTCAGGACAGGTTTTCAAATGTATTCATTTGGATGCATACATGGTAACATTATGAAATGCACACATTATGATACTGTATTATTACAGTAATATTGATTTCCTGTGTTGTCCCCCCACAGCCACCCGTGGGAGACAGTGACCAAGGCGGCAATGCAGAAGTACCCCAACCCCATGAACCCAGGCGTGGTAGGGGTGGACGTGTTGAACAGACACGTGGACACACAGGGTCGGCTATGCAGCAACAGACTGCTCAGCACAGAGTGGGGACTGCCCTCCTTGGCCAAGACTGTAAGTCCCCAGCACAGTGGATCCCTGTCTCCAATGTTGCCACTAATATGATTCTCCTGATGAGTAAATTTCAGGTCACCAGTCCCAATGCAGATACATTGTCTTTTAACTGCTGTAGATATCGATGTAATTTGGGTTGCTGCACCCACAATAATCCAAAGCCATTGCATTAATCAGAAGTTGACTGTACAAATGTTGACATATTCAATCACAGCAGCTGTTTAGTTCAGAGGCCAAGTTAGTATGTGTAGGCTTGCGGTTAGACTAGGCTACATTTTGAATGATGCTTGTTCTAGTGAAGTGGGTAATGCTCAGAACAGTTGGCTATCTACAGCTCTGTGGTAGTTAAATGATTGAGCGCTGCCATGACCTCGGCTCTGCTAGACCTTTACTGAAGGCTGTCTCAGCTAGAAGGTTCAGACTGGTGTTGTGTAATCAAGACTGCATGAAGTTGTTTGGTAAATATTTCTCAAACCTTGAAGCTTTTATGAGTCAACAGATCTGAGGATGTATTATTTTGTCAGTGATGTCAAACATATATCACTGACAGTGATGATGTCATTGTCTTTTCTCCCAGCTCATTGGTATAACACGAACAAACACATACATCCAGGAACATTCGGTGGTAGACCCCAAGGAAAAGATCTTTGAGCTACAATCTACAAATGTGAGTTCACCCCTGTTGTCGGATGTGCATTTGTGGATACTATAGATAACTCCACCTTTTAGCCCTGTTGGCTAACGTTGATGCACTTTCCTCTGCTTTCAGATTTCATGTACTAATATAGTATCTGTGGACGAGAAGTTAACATACAGGCCGCATCCGCAGGATCCCGAAAAGTATGTGATTTGTTGATGGTTTGAGTTAAAGATTATATACAGGAAAATTGATAAATAGGTTTGAGTTTCACAGCTAAACTGTTTGTTTTTCTGTTTATCCTTATGTTTAGGACCATACTGACACAAGAGGCACTGATCTCTGTAAAAGGAATTAGTCTGAGCAGTTACCTGGAGGGGCTCATGGCCAAAACCATCTCAGCAAATGCAGGCAAAGTAAGACCTCTCCCTTCACACCTGCAGCCTGGATTAAATATTTATGAGTGGAAATGTTCAGCCCCTAACTTTCCCCTGTGTGTTTTGTTGTGTTCAGGGACGAGAGGCGATGGAGTGGGTCATCAGGCGGTTAAACACAGAGATCGAGGAGCTGGCAGCGACTGCACAGGCCACAATCCGCATCCCCATGGCAGCAGCAGTCACAGAGAAATGATCATCCCCCATCTCAGTGGACCTCAGACATTTCCCCTGAAAGGGGAGACCCACCTTATCTGCCAGCACAGCCACCTCCTGTATTGGCCCACTCATCTTCTGTCACAAGAACGCACGCTTCCCACAGCGGACTGTCCGTACAAGCAGGGTACAAGCTGTTGGGTACACAGAGTGAAGCTGATGACATTAAACAGGGTGGAGCCGAGTTGCATTTGGGGCTCATGGGATTTGTAGTCTAACGTTTTCAATCACACCGTGCCTATAGGTCATCAGGTTTCTATTTATTCTCCTCCTGCTGTCATTTTCTATTGTTACTCTATAGTCAGCTGTCTAACACGTTTACTCTGGCACTTGAAGATTCCATTTACAGCATTCTATGTTGCCTATCCAAGCCATGTACTTACCAACCTTAAACAGGCTATCATCATTTTCATGGAACAGTTCACTTACTGAGAAGATAAAAGAATATATTTTTATGCTTGTTTGTGGGTCTGTTTTATTTGTGAAGTGATGTAAGAATGCAAACTTGATTTTTAAAGTGGCAATCAGCAGTAGAAACAATAACAGTGTTTTCCCCACCCCTGTTTCGGTAAAAAGCTGAAGGATGGCGGCAGGTAGCTTAGTGGGTAAGAGCGTTGTGCCAGTAACCGAAAGGTCGCTGATTCTAATCCCCGAGCCGACTAGGTGAAAAATCTGTCGACATGCCCTTAAGCAAGGCACTTAACCCTAATTGCTCCTGTAAGTCGCTCTGGATAAGAGCGTCTGCTAAATGACTAAAATGTAAATGCTGGAGAATTGTAAACACTCTCAAATTCATAGACAAAGCTATGGATGCAAGGACTGACCATCCATGATATCAACATTATAGTTTTGAGGCTATATAGTGTTTGTTTACATTTATTTTGTTGACAAACGATTAAAACGTGTTTATTTTTGGTTATGATGCGGTATGACAGTTTAACTAAGCTCATGAGGCATTTATAAGTTATATCCTTAAACAATCAATGGGTACATAATTAATTTATAAGCCCTGTCATGGAAATTCTACACTAAGGACTCACACTTTTTTTATATGGCAGAGGCAGAGGATGTTACTGTACATTCCCACACTTTTGCTAGATAGGTTAATCCCTCCAGTCGTTTCTAGACCCAAGCTCCCTATCTTTTTGCATGTTGTACAGCCCAGCTGTGAATTCTGCATGAAAAGCCAGGGGTTATACGTTTGCTTGTTCTTGAACTGCAAATTGCACCTGCTCTGAGCACTTCATCGGTGGATGCACTGCCCCTTCCCGTCTCTCTCCCGCTGAGTCTGACTCGCTAGTAGGCCTACTAGTGGGATTAGCAGCGCTGCTAGCTAAGGCATAGCCATCAGGAACAGTTTGCCCCTCACTCTTCTCCTCCGGCACTCACAGTTCTCTGGCTCATTCTGGGTTCGATTCACCAGCTTTCTCTGGATTCTTGTCATCAAACTCGATTACTTTTTCTTATCCATTTTTTATTTGTCTTTCCCACATTTCAAATTCAGTAGCGGGACAACTAGCCTAGGCTACATGAGATGATTACGTAGGGACCACTTCACTAGTTGACCACCACTACCAAGACCTGTGTCAAGATCAGTTGCCACACCGGCCCTCCCAATAACCTCTGTACAAATAAGAGCAGGTCTGGAATCAGTGTGGCAGGATAGGATGACCACAGAAGGAGTACTGCGCTTTTACATTATGGTCTTTCTGGGGGGTGGGAGAAATAACGAGGAGGCAACTTGATTTAACGCTCATAGCTTTTATTAGAATGTTTACAGTGCGAACAATTAAACAATTAATAAATCATGCCGCGAGAGGTACTGGATCCGGGTAAATAGGTGCTGGAACGAACAAAGTCAAATCTAAGAGGTTCCGGATCCTGTTCCGGCTCAAATTAAGCACTGTGTGGGGGACTACATGTTTACTGTAGCCTTGTTTTAACCTTGCCATAGCCATAGCTAACACTTTTCAAGAAAACAGAAATAAACTTTTTGTAAAACAATTTATTGGTGTATTCATGTGGTGTTTCATTTTATTGCATCACACAGCTTTATCAGGTTTATTGTGAGCTGCAATCAGTTGTTTTTAGCGGTGTTACAGTACAAGCGGTCTTGTTTCTTTAATCAGTGAGTTATCCATTGCCAAAATGGGGCAATGCTCAAATTAAATTTCAGTAGAAGCAGTACATTTCATCTGATACCTATGATAATTGGTTCACTGAAAACAAGGCAAAGCTGAAAATTCTCTCTTGAATAATATGTTTCTAAATCTTAACACATCTATATGAATCGGCTGGTGTTTTCAGTGCTAAAATTTAACCATGGATTAGGCAGTGGTTAATGTGTAGCTACTTGCAGTTCTACATTAAGAAATTAGTAATGTATCATTTTTTTCTGGGATAGTAATGAATGATATTAGCAGCACCACCTAGAGTTGGTAAGGGTAAATCCCTTCAGAAATGCTCTCTCTCTCTGCAGATTTAACGTCAAGGTCTGATGCAATGGACACAAATCCCTGTGGGAGAAAGAAACATTTGAATGAACCCAAAATACTGCCAGTATCTGCCAGAACCACTTTGGTGAAAGTAAAGATACACATGCACACTGCTAAATAGTTCATTAATGGTACCCAAACTATCTGCACTGACCCTATCTGCACTGACCCTACGCACACTCACTAGACTATATATACATACTATACTGTATATACACTCACTCACACACACTACATTGACACTCCCACACAAAACCCACACACATTCACACACACACACATAACACACACACATACATACACATTACACAGACATACACACACACTTTTACACTCATAATTTGCTGCTGCTACTCTGTTCTTTATTTTACTCTTATTATTATCTATCCTGATGCCTAGTCATTTTACCATGCCTTCATGTACATATCTACCTCAAATACCTCGCACCTCTGCACATTGATCTGGTAGTGGTACTCTCTGTAATAGCTCCATTCTTGTGTATTTTATTTTATTCCTCTTGTGTTACTATTTTATTTGTATTATTATTTTTAAACTCTGCATCGTTGGGAAGGGCTCGTAAGCAAGCATTTTACGGTAAAGTCTACACAAGTTGTATTCAGCCCATGTGACAAATAACATTTGATTTGATTTGACACACACTCACATACTCAAAATAAAGTAGCCACAACTGGCAAATTAAATATATTTACAGATTTCCCAGCCTACACTAATTGAGGCTGGTTTAAAAGCTACACTAATAGATCAAATCAAATTTTATTTGTCACATGCGCCGAATACAACAGGTGCAGACTTTACCGTGAAATGCGTACTTACAAGCCAACAATGCAGTTTTAAGAAAAAAAAAGAGTTAAGAAAATATTTACTAAATAAACTAAAGCAAAAAAATAAATACAAGTAACACATTAAAATAATAGATGGTATCAGACCTGCTGGATCTTCAGCACAGGGTTAACCAGATGGATGTGGTGCATGGTGGGTAAAGCAATGCCCTCCTCCAGTTTGGCTGCAACAAACAAACGGCAGTAGTTTAGGGTAACTATTTCAGCAGGCCAGTCATTAGGCTTACACACAATGGTTTTGTAGGTTAAGGAAATGTCATGATGAAGTGTGGTTTGACAATGTGTATATGGTCAATTTGAATATGAATAGGCCTACTGTAGTACTACTCTAGGATTGTGTGCTCTTTTTCCTGCATACATTTCAGAACTTACCGTTCAGTTTAGCTAACACTGAAACCTCCACCCCCATTTTCACAATTTTTTCCAGGGCTGCAGTCTGCAAAATAGTGATCGTTGTCAACATTTGGTATCTCTTTATTTAGCCATACAGGGCCGGTTTCCCGGATACAGATTAAGCTTAGTCCTGGACTAACAAGCAGGCCTAATGGAGAAACTGGCCCACAGTGTACTGAGGTTAAGCAGTGCACCACATCATTATAAATGTAATGCAGTGTCTTTGCATCATACCTGGAATGTTCCCACTTCACTTGATGCCAGTGTCAGGGTAAAACTAGCAAATGGAGAGTTGTATTACTCAATTAATGTACAAATCAAATGTATTTATTTAATTCAAGTGGAACTGAAACTCATCTTACTTGTTTAGTTTCATCAAGCCTTGGAGTTTCTCTTCTGAAATGCGTATCATCCCACGAAAAATTGAGTCCTGGAAGAGAAGAAAAATGTATTGGAATTAATGGAAGATTAGTCCACTGCACAGAATGCGTTCTGAAAGTACATAATCACATTTAACTGAAAAGGATTTACATGAACCCTGAACCAAAAAAGCAAACTCACAACATTGAGATTGAACAGTGGAGTCCGTGAAGCATTTGGCTGGATGGCAAAGGCCTTAATGGCACCTGGAAATTCCTGTGTCACCTTATCAGCCTGGAAGGAAAACATTGGAACGTCCCTGGCATACACCTGCAGTTCCATCAGCATGTTGGGGAAGAGCTTGGGAAGCTGGGGGGAATTAAATGGTGCATTTAGAAAGCTTTTGTTCAAGGGCACTGCGTCCCAAACTACACAGTCCATGCACACTCAGTGGCCAGTTTATTAGGTTCACGAAAATGGATAGCTCCTACAGACAGTGATTCACGTGGCCGTGGCTTGCTATATAAAGCAGGCAGACAGGCATTGAGGCATTCAGTTACTGTTCGATTGAACTTTAGAATGGGCAAAACTAGTGACCTAAGCGACTTTGAGCGTGCTATGATCGTCGGTGCCAGGCGTGTCAGATCCAGTATTTTAGAAACTTTTTTAATGCACGACAGTGCGACAAACAAAAACCATCCAGTTAGCGGCAGTCCTGTGGGTGAAAACAGCTCATTGATGAGAGAGGTCGAAGGAGAATGGCAAGAATCGTGCAAGCTAACAGGTGGGCCACAAACAGACAAATAACGGTGCAATTCAACAGTGGTGTGCAGAGCGGCATCTCGGAACGCACAATTCGTCGATCCTTGTCACGGATGGGATATTGAATCAGATGACATTTACATTTACATTTTAGTCATTTAGCAGACACTCTTATCCAGAGCGACTTACTGGAGCAATTAGGGTTAGGTGCCTTGCTCAAGGGCACATCGACAGATATTTCACCTAGTCGGCTCAGGGATTAGAACCAGCGACCTTTCGGTTAATGGCACAACGCTCTTAACCACTAAGCTACCTGCCGCCTTATGACCACACAGGGTTCCACTCCTATCAGCTAAAAACAAGAAGAAGCGGCTCCAGTGGGCACGCGATCACCGACACTGGACAGTTGAAGAGTGGAAAAACATTGCCTGGTCCGACAAATCCCGGTTCCTGTTGCGTCATGCTGATGGCAGAGTCAGGATTTGGCATAAGTAGCATGAGTCCATTGACCCATCCTGCCTGGTGTCAACAGTACAGGCTGGTGACGGTAGTTACTGGTGTGGGGAATGTTTTTCTGGCACACGTTAGGTCCCTTGATACCAACTGAGCAACGATTGAACACCACAGCGTATCTGAACATTGTTGCTCGCCAAACCCAATAAAGCATCTTTGGGATGAGATGGAATGGGATGTTTGTAGCAGGAATGTATTGCCGTCCAATCTGCAGCAACTGTGTGATGCCATTGCGTCAGCATGGACCAACATCCCTGTGGAATGTTTCTGACACCTTGTAGAATCCATTCCCCAAAGAATTCAGGCTGTTCTGGAGGCAAAGGGGGGTCTGACCCGGTACTAAATGGCCACTGAATGTATGTTCCTGTTGGCTACGGCCAAGGATTTTCTCGGTGTTACCTGAGGGATGAGAGGCCCGAAGGAGGTTGTGTTGAGGCGGAAAGGAGAAGTCTTGGGGATCTGAGATTAATAGAGGAAGTAAGGAGAAGGGTTATTAACTACGGAGGTAACTCAACAGTTTGCATACTTAGATTAAAAGGAGTGAAATGACTGTAGTTGACAGAAAAACAGACAGACAGACAGACAGAGGCATGAACACACACACACACACATATTTGTTTTACTATCCTTGTGGGGACCAAACAATTGATTCCCATGAAAGATCCTATTTTCCCTAACCCCTAACCCTTAACCTAACCCTAACCCTAACCCTAACCCTAATTCTAAACCTAACCCTAATTGTAACCCTAACCCTAACCCTAAACCTAACTCCTAAACCTTTTCCTTGTTTTACTATCCTTGTGAGGACTTCTGGTCCCCACAAGGATAGTAAAACCAAAAACACACACACACCACACACACACACATGCCTAAACACACACCATGCTGTCGTTAATTTTGGCCTGCAGGAGTCCAGCGGAGAAGTAACCGTAGGAGGCAGAGTTGACAGTGAATTCAGACAGGCCCAGGGAGAGCATGTGGCCATCATCCTTTGGCAGATCAAAATGCTCGGCCTTAAAAGGAGGATCTGTGTGACTCTGAACACTGTAGAACTCACCCTGGAACACAGAAATCAGTAACTCTGAGCAAGGATCCTGAGTTCAAAGTATGATACCCCCAGTCCCCACCCTTTCTTCTTCATGAAACACAATAATATTGGGTTATGTTGTGTCTATTCACATCAGGTAAAGCTACCTTCAAATCCAGACCAAGGCCAATAGATTCAACGAGGGGTGGGTTAGTGAGGGGGATGTCCAAAACCAGAGCAGAATTGACCTTGAAGGACACTGTAGTGAAAAAAAAAATCCCATGAGCACCACAATACTGGTAGGAAGAATATTTGTGTAGCCTATTTTTTTTCTTTGTCCTCCCTACTGCAATACCTTGCATTTCTGCTAGATGTTGATCCAAATCTGTAACATGCTCTTCAACCATTGGGCAGATCTGGGTGCAGTGATATACAGCATATGGTCATGCAGTCAGTTTGAAAAGAAAACACATAATTTGAACATTTACTGATATAAGGAATACAAATCATGAGGTGAATCGATTTACTCACTTTTTCCTCAATTAGAGCAGTCATCTGATCTTTGAAAAGGGTCACAAATGGCTGGAAGATAAAACTGTTAACAAAATGGTTACCAAATTATAATGATCATACATCTCTTTCTCTCTCCCCCTCTCTCTAAATACATTTTTTGAAACATACCTGGCTCCTCCATGGAAAGTGATTGATGCTTTGCTTATCCTGGCATCACAGTTTTCACTGGAGATAGAAATGTGTCCACTGTAATCACTCCCTAACTGCACCACAGAGGTCACGTCCACATTGAACACTGCCAGGTCAAATGAGCCACCATCGCTTCTGCAAACACACAGGGAGTGGGACAAGACATCATATTATTAGAAATTCGATTAGTTTTGAACTCATTACAAAAGGCGCAGGCCTCAAAGCTCAAAGATTCTGATGTGAAAACAGGAAGAGCCGTTGAGAGAACTATTCATTCTTATCTGACTGGTCCCAGATAGAATATGTTTAACCTCGAAGGTTCTTCTCTGTACAGAGTTAGTGTATCAGTTCCTCTTATACTGTCATCAGTAGTTTTGTTACCAGTAGTTGTGTTACCTTGTGTTACCAGTAGTTGTGTTACCAGTAGTTGTGTTACCAGTACATTTAACAAAGATTCTCCCTTTTCAGGAGACAGACATCAATACTGTACCTGAGCCTCATAATCCAATAGCATGGAACGTTTACAAAAATGGGAAAATAGAAAAACAGGCACCAATCAGACAACAGAAACTGATCACTGTCACTCACATGATGCCAAAACGTGTGTGCCAATTGCCCTTCATTGAAATGCTGAAGCCACTGATCCCAGTCTTGAGTCCCACGCCCTCATAGAACTCCACTGAAGGCTCTGGAACATCACACCCAGACACTGAGATTCTAGAGAGAAGGATGATGGAGACAGAAAAATGTAAATGTTGTGCAGTGTGTCAATAGCACTGTTTTAAATGATAGAACATCTTCGGAGACTATGACAAAATATTAGACCCAAACTCATTCTTGGTACTTTGCCACCAAAGCACAAAGCACAAAATGTCTGTAGCAGGTTCTTTGACTAATGATGATTAAGTTAAACGTTATTCTGAGATTATAAACAGTAATGGTTTACTTTAATTTCATAAATGAAAACCACAACATGTACCCGTCAAGGACGTAGTGCACTGTTCCTATACCAATGTCAACACCACCGCTGATATCTGGTATGATCATACTCCATATCTTCTCCTGCATCCAATCAGCCCCAATGTGTGACCCTGGAGGATACAAGAATAAAGTAGTTGTTGTAATGCACTTTCTCTGGTTTGGTATTTTAACTCAAAATAATTGAGGAAATAGCATTTTCTTACCATATTGAAGTCCTTTATTTGTCAATATGGCCTTTATTGCAGGATTTTCTCCAAAGGCATGATTGGTAAGATTCAGCAGCAGTATTAGGAGTGATAACATGCTTAAAGCCCTTTTGGAGAGATATACAGTATTGTTCCTCTGAAATACTACTGCTTTCATAAAATACCATAAACAACTCTTTTTTTTAAACTATATCCAGCAAATCAGCAAATAAAGAGCATTTTGTTAACATTATTTGCATAAGAGATACATACATACAGAGACTATAGATTTATGCATGTAACATAAAATGAAGAATTTACCTAGGTTGATTGCTAGCTCTAGTGTAGATAGAATGGCTGTAGTTCTGATTTGGGACTGTGCTCAAATCATGTGATATTTATATATAGGCTATTAGCTTCCTGTTTCATTGTAAAGTGAAACTGCTGAACACCTATCCCCTTTGGTGAGTGGTAGTGAGATATACGGTTGCTAAGTAGAGTGTGAAAAACAGGAAACCAGTCTGATGACTGTTATATTTTTCTTTTGGTCTGCTTTATAATCTCCACTTTTCAATAGCAGTGCTTAGTAGAATCAGGATAAGGCTCATAGCAAATAAATGTACCATGAAATAAGGCCTCTGCTCTTTGTTTTCCTGCATCTTGGTGTGAGCTAGCACACTCCAGTCTAGATACAGTAGCAGATATTTATTCAAATAACAACTGAACAGAATAATAGTGCATCAACCCAGTGTCTAAATTGTAATATTTATTAGGCCTACAAAGAATAAAGAATACACTTTTATTTGTTTATTTTATTTTGTATTTTTTTTTAAACTCTTTTTCTCGACAGTCCCTGATGTCCAGAGGCTTCGACCAACATTTGGTCAAGAGGCCCATGGACGGGCTCCCGACCAACAAAACCTGAAATATGAGTGGTCTTTAACTTATTGTCGTTTTATTGTTTTTTTATGTATGCTGATGACTCCTTGGGATGACTCCTTGAGTATCCACTGCTGGCCCCTTATGAGAGCATCAGAAGTCCACTTTAACAAGCAACCTGTGGGATCCATATTCTTCATTCTGAGAAGGATTGTTATTTACTGTAACTTGGGAATCAGGAACTGAAAGAGGGGGTGCAGAATAATGTTATGGCGTAATTTAAAGAAGTATTAATTATGTTTGTGTTGTGATATTGTTAAGTTTGTATTGTTATATACACTGAGTAGCCAGGTCATCTGATGCAGCACTCCATCACTCTCCTTCTTGGTAAAATAGCCCTTACACAGCCTGGAGGTGTGTTGGGTCATTGTCCTGTTGAAAAACAAATGATAGTCCCACTAAGCCCAAAACAGATGGGATGGTGTATCACTGCAGAATGCTGTGGTAGCCATGCTGGTTAAGTGTGCCTTGAATAAAGAAAAACCCTTGAATGAGTAGGTGTGTCCAAACTTTTGACTGGTACTGTAAATATATACTGTATATTGTTTGTACCTTTATTTTGACAGTGCTCATATGTCTCTTGGGCTATAAAATAATTAAGTTCATTGGAAATTAGACCATGCAGTTGAAGTCGGAAGTTTACATACACCTTAGCCAAATACATTCAAACTCAGTTTTTCACAATTCCTGACATTTAATCCTGGTAAAAATTCCCTGTCTTAGGTCAGTTACGATCACCACCTTATTTTAAGAATGTGAAATGTCAGAATAATAGTAGAGAGAATGATTTATTTCAGCTTTTATTTATTTCATCACATTCCCAGTGGGTCAGAAGTTTACATACACTCAATTAGTATTTGGTAGCATTGCCTTTCAATTGTTTAACTTGGGTCAAACGTTTCGGGTAGCCTTCCACAAGCTTCCCACAATAAGTTGGGTGAATTTTGGCCCATTCCTCCTGACAGAGCTGGTGTAACTGAGTCAGGTTTGTAGGCCTCCTTGCTCGCACACGCTTTTTCAGTTCTGCCCACAAATGTTCTATAGGATTGAGGTCAGAGCTTTGTGATGGCCACTCCAATACCTTTACTTTGTTGTCCTTAAGCCATTTTGCCACAACTTTGGAAGTATGCTTGGGGTCATTGTTCATTTGGAAGACCCATTTGCGACCAAGCTTTAAGAAATAATGTCTGTAAACAATTGTTAGAAAAATTACTTGTGTTATGCACAAAGTAGATGTCCTAACCGACTTGCCAAAACTATAGTTTGTTAACAAGAAATGACTCCAACCTAAGTGTATGTAAACTTCCGACTTCAACTGTATGTGGAGTCTAAATGTATAGGCAGACAATGCGCATGTGCAGGTGAGGTGAGTAACTCTATGATAATTTGCATAATACTGCACACCAAATCCGCATTCCTAATCCAGATTTCTGCTTCCATTTTACTGAAAGACCCCCAAACAAACACTGACTATATTCATCCATAAAAACCTCGATTTTATTCACCCATAGATTATTTTTTCGCACATACATGAGCATGCACAAATTCCAGATAGACATTTAATCCTTGTACAATGACATGAACATAATGCATAAAATATTCGATTTATTTATCTATTAATTCAACACATACTCGTTTCTTACAAGTCATGATTAATTCCATGAAAGCACAATTAACACGTTCAACAGGTAGGGAGACTATACAGAAGACAGATCGTTTCATATAAACACATAGGAGCCACTTGCTTGCACTGCAATAATTCACTTCATCCATAATTACACTTGAAACACCAAAAACCAAATGTGTCGACAAGGAGTACGGTTGAAAACGAATCGAAATGTTCTGATTAAACCACTATATATGATTTCCTTATATGTTTATCCTATAGCACCATCCAACGTGGGTGCCCTGAGCGTGTTTTCTCTGTTATGTCGACAGAACCTGCATGAGATTATCTAACTCTATAGCAGCTCGATAATAAAACACTCACTTCCGTAGTTAAAAAAAAAATCTTCATAAAGAAACCAATTCTCAATGCAGATATCAAGACACCCACACACTAAGTTAGGCCTTATACACAGCTAATTTTCACATGCCTGACATTGCCTGATCAGACCATGCATCATATTCAACGCTTCAGAGACGATCTATTTCCCAAGGACACTGAATTGCCCACTCCTAATTAACATAACATTTCATTACTAAATACTGTACACTATGACTGTAAAATCTGTTATTGCACATTATCACGAAGGCAAAAAACTAAGTACACAGTTACACAGTCTCCCTTTTGCGCTGTCAATCAGTCTGTCATTACGCGCCAATGATCGATGAGAGTATGACCTATGGGCTACAGAGGTTGAATTTATACTTTCTTATTCCTCGACTCCATATTTGAATGCCTCAATGAGCCCCTCTACTGAGTGAATAAACCCAGAAATGCTGCATATGCCCCCTATAACGAATATGGCGACGTCGAAGAACACGTGGTGCCATAAGAGTTTCCTCCACATCAGTTTTAGATGAAAGAGAGCCGGGAGAAGGAAGCACAACCCGGCGCCGGTAAGACTCCCGGTGAGGCCCATGAGGAGTGCGAAGTGCGGGACAAAGATGGCCATGATCAACGTGAACACCACAAGGAGGCACCGGAGGCCCAGTCCCCAGGACTTAATCCGTCCTCCCGGCGCGTAACAGTCAGGGAAAATAGCGCGCCCTCCATCCTGGAAAAAAGACTTCTCCAGGACCTCTACAGCAGCGAAGAATGGCAGCGGATACGAAAGCAAGGCCTTGGCCACCAGGAGCAGGTTGACCACCGCTCTGATGGTGGACGGAAGGTTGTCCGTGATTACCTCTTTGGTGGCATCTGCCCAAGTCAAGTAGGCCACCAGAGCGAACAGGCCCTTCAGAACGCAGGCTCCGATGTGGGTCCAGTCCATCATGCAGTGGAACTCCTTTGGCCTCTGCATGTTCCCCTCCAGCGACGGCAGGAAGATCTGGGACGTGTAGCTGAAGACGATGATGCCGATGGAGATGGGGAACTTCTTGACATCGATATAGAACTTGACTTTGTCCCAGGCCCAGTCGCGGGCTCTGGAGAGGCAGTAGGCTATCACCAGGATGTTGATGACAAAGTGCGCGATGGTGCAGAGCAAGCTGAACTTGGACACGGCCTTAAGGCTCTTGAGGAACGCGCAAGGCAGGAGGGCAGCCGTGGCGACTACAGACCAGGCCTTCTGCGAGACCGGCAGATTGGGGAAGCTGTTGACCATCAGGTTGCCGCTGACCACCACATACAGGATACAGGTCATGACCAACTCAATGATCTGAGCAACGTTAACGATATGTCCGCCCAGAGACGCGAACCGTGGCTGGCAGCACGCGTTGGCGATGTCCACGTAGGAGTCCCTCACGCGCACCAGAATTCCATCCTCATTCTCTTCATACAGACACGCAATAAGAATCTTTCCGGTGTAACAACATACAACGGCGGCAAATATGATGAGAAAGAGTCCGAGGTATCCTCCGTGAAGAATGGCGTATGGTAACCCAAGGACGAACATCCCCTGTGGATACACAAGCACAGTTGAGTCGTAATGGAAATGTTCTTATCGAAGTGCCCCCCCCCCCCCACACACACACACACACCACACACAACACATGCAATAAATGAATAATATTCAAAGTTGCATAATAATAGCAAACGACATTTACATTTGCATAATCATACACGTGTGAAAACCCAAATATAACGATTGGAGTTGAGAGAGAAAAGCATAGGCAGGCCTCTATTCATCTGTCAGCCGACTAGCGTCCAGGCTCAGAATCTAATATTTCTAAGATATTTCCTCATCAAGACTGTATTTATTTTGTATAATCCACTGTAATAATAACATTTACGATTTAGCAGACGCTTACATCCAAATCGACTTACAGTCATTCGTGCATACATTTTACGTATAGGTGGTCCCGGGAATCAAACCCACTACCCTGGGGTTACAAGCTCCATGCTCTACCAACTACAAAGGACCACTGTGAAATATTATCAAGAATAACGATGTAGGCCTAATGGTGCCTGAGGCTAATCCAAACCATTTTAGCCGTGATTCATTCCAGACGGAGAGGAAACCGGGGGTCTGTTTTTTGCTGATAAGAAATAGGCTATCTTGAATAAATCCCTATTTTCCTCTAAAACCTCAAATTATTATATACATGCTTACAATTAAATTGACATTCTCTTCTGATTAAATGAAAATATTTAGGACACATTTGTTCTAAATGAAGGATTGTGAAATATGAAACCATACAATATGCCTATTCAAAGTATATTTTTACATGTCAATTAAAATATTTCTAAAGTCGTTTTAAGGTCTGTTTCAGTTGTTTTGTAGGATGCAAATCGGTGTCCCCTGAATGGGCGTATATTCCAAGGCTATCTTGACAATAGGCCTACATTGACATAGTGACAATATGTTAATGTGTTTCTTAAAATTATTTCTACCTGAATGGCATTGGTGACGTTCCACCCCGCATCCCAAGAGGTAATTTTGGGTTTGTCCTCTAATGCCAACTCGTTACACGCCCCAGTGTTCTTGAGGGAGGAGGAGGATGGTGGGCCGGTTCCATCTCTCTGGTAGTGGCTGTCCCCCACCATCAACTCGTCTCCTCCGTCCATATCTCCCCCTTCCTCGTCACCCTGCATGATGTCCATCTGCATCCCCTGCCTGTACTCAAAATCCAAGTCATCGCAGTCCACGAACCCCAGACCCTCTTCATCCGTAGCGGCCTGGAAGCCCAGCCTGGCGAACACTCCGCTTACCTTGGCCTGAGACTTATTGGATACTGTGTTGGCCGCATTGGTCAGCTTGTTGCCGATCTTGTGTCGAATTAAGTGAGCCATTGTTGTGAAATAAATGTGAATCTTCAGATATCAATTGGATCAAATATGAAAATGTTTGAATAAATACATGCAAGGTGGTTATTAGCTATTTTGGCTGTTGCTGCTGCTGTGAGAGAAAGATAACCATTCCAGTTGCCAATACGTTTCGACTTTGCTCTTAACCGCTGTCCAACCGTTACATCCACACAGGCTCTCCTTAAAATCCCGTCTGTTGGTCTTGATTAAACATGGCACTTTCAAATCCCTCCTGCACTTTCTTGGCTTCAGAAGTAATGATGCAAAAAAAACCCTCCTAATTCAAATTGGTCAAGTTGGTTCTTCTAAACTGCTGAATATGATCGAATGTCTCTGTTTGTGACCTCTCCATTAAGTTGTCCGTTTTGATTCGGATGTTGCACTCAGCTGTTGCGCAGCTGTGCCAAGAGCAAACCACGAGCGATGGAATCTGTGTGTCACAGCGGGACTGGGCACGTGTCCTCGTAGACTGCCAATGCAATGACTTGCTTAGCAGGCAAAAACCCGTCATGATTTTGAAGCGGGTGTGTGTGTGTGTCTGTGTGAGAGAGAGAGAGAGAGAGAGAGAGAGAGAGAGCGAGAGAGAGAGAGAGAGAGAGAGAGAGAGAGAGAGAGAGAGAGAGAGAGAGAGAGAGAGAGAGAGAGACGCATCCTATGACACAATTATGACCCCCTCACTGGCGCAAATTCTCTGCAGTAGCCTAAGACCAAGGACAAAATGGTCATTTTATTACGTTTAGAATATTGCTTTGAGATTTTAGAGGGATAAAGGGGTGTAGTATTTCGTTACCAGAGGCATGGATGCTAGCTCTTACCCTTTATTTATACAAAATATTTGTGCTTTATTCGATTAAGCTCATTTTGCATATTTGATTAGACCTAATTCAATTTATTTTCTTTTCAAATTCGTTTTTGAATTTGATCGATCATTTGTTTCAATATTTTTCGTTATGATATAATGACACTAAGCATGTTCATATTATGTTGATCTGGCAGATGTATTATCAGTTTCATAAAGGTGTAGTTTATAATTGCAGACGCATATGTTCGTTGAAAAATTAGACAGTGAGTTAGACTGCGCAACATTCATAAGCCTATATCTCACACACACACTGTGTCTTTTTATTCCTAATGCAAAAATACATAGAGGTGTAAATGGATAAATAAATCGTAGCTCTAACCTAGCTGTAACATCAATAGCATTATTAAAATTATTTCTGTTTGTCTTTTAGATTATTCGCTATAAGAATTTGGATCCAACGTTTTGTTTCATGCCCCTTTGAGTATAGCCAGCACTTACATTCTTTTTTATTTGGCAGAATTTATATAAAAACAATCTTTAAAAAATAAATAATCTTGTCTAATTTGTTTCCCGATTATTTTAATTGATTAGCTTATCTGTGTAGCCTAAATACATTTTTGTTCATGGGAGCAGATACTTTAAATTGAATAAACTCCATGTTTATTCAGCTGATAAATTAGAGACCACGACCCGCATGCATCTTCATGAGAAAATGCAACTAATTTCAGCATTGCAGAACCTTGGACAGCGCCTTGCATTTGCGCATATTGGCTATAACCGTCTGTAATTGCCTAGTCATTTTTTAAATGTCCCCTGTTGTTTGACAAGCTATTTCCAATGTAGATCTACACAGCGTTAGCAAATTCCTCATGGTTAGATCAACTACACATCTGGCCAGGAAACCAAATGTAGGCCTATATAGGATAATATCTCATGTCGGTTGTCTGGAAAAGGCATGGCATTCTATTCCTCATTAAACACATGCCGTGTCATGTGCGTCTACTTTAGAACTCCCAAATTACGATATGACATTAAAGAGCAGAAATATGTTAGAAAATGCAGAAGAAAAAATCACGGTAACATTTGATGCCTCCAACTGTAATCCCTCAGATGTTAAGAGGCACCTTATCCTTTCTCTTCTAATCGGTTCCGACATGTCACGACGCATTACATTATCACTGTCATCAGGTTTTGGTGCCTGCGTGTGCAAGGCATTTCTAATATTTCCTTCTGTTGGAATACATTATGAACAGTTTAGTCTTTGCACAGAGTGAGAATAGCAAGTGGACAGACTGATGGGAAATGCATTACATAATAATGTATGTTGAATTGTGCATTGGTCGAATACTATAAGAGACAAAAACGTGAAAGACGAGGAGAGCTCTACATATAGCATCAACGCAGAGGAGAGAGAAAGTTCCCATATTTTCATGCTAGGCTTAGGCTGCTTTGCCAGCTGCCATTTGTGTTCAGGCATGCACAGTGTGTGTGTGTGTGTTTGTGTATGTATGTGTGCTTGCATGCGTGTGTGTGTGAGGACAGTGAGGAAAGAATATTCCCGGGAGAGTCCTTGGGGCATCTCAGTGACTAAACCTCCCTCCCCCATCATGTGCAAAACCCTGGGCTGGGACAGAGGATAGGCTGCAAATGTCACACACACACACACACACACACACACACACACACACACACACACACACACACACACACACACACACACACACACACACACACACACACACACACACACACACACACTCAACTGGATTAACATTAACAGCACTGCACCTTCATAATGAAACAAGGTTTTGAATTCTAGTGAAATGTGCTTCTAATCTTCTGAACACAAAAACATTTTGTTCTCTATCTGTATTTGCACATTTGGAACTTCACAAGAAATAGATTTTCAGGCATATAATTATTGAGATGGCATCAAATTGCTTGCTGTGGTGACCAATTTAGCTTTGGGTTACAGAGGCAAAGTTTAATTCAGCAAAGATGAGAGAGGGATGTCTGAAGGGGGAGAGATACTGAAGGCTTACAACCTGCTAACATGTACCAACTGGGGGCAATAGTCTCAGATAGTTGCCATGGCCACAATAATTGGTTGGCAAGACTCAAAGGAACACAGGTTGTCTGTCTGAAAGCCCCACTGGGTGAAGAGGGAAGCCACTGGAGCCAATCTAGAGCCCTAACAATGGGAAGGGATCTAATAAAAATATAGCCTCCTGGATTGAGAAAAAATTGAGCATTTTTGTTTAGAATAGAGAAATGCAATCTGCTGCTTATACTAAATGGTCCACAAGGACATGCAATTTACATAGGAATAAATAAATAAACACACACACAGAGAATTTTGAAATCTTTGCTTGGATCCACTATGAAACATGAACACATTTTACGCATACACAGATACTACACACCCAGGGATACATGCAAAGTGACAGGTGCACAAACACATTAATCACTCTATGGCCCAAAAATATCTGTTATGCTTACAGGGCTTGAGACTGAAGAGAGTGGTAGTGACAGTCTCTGTGTGTGAGGGGGCAGGGGAGTGTTTAGGGGTTGCAGGGCGTTTGGTTTGCTGCTGTGGCTCTGATATCAGGTAACCTAGCGGTTAAGAGCATTGGGCCAGTAACTGAAAGGTCGCTGGTTTGAATCTCAGAGCCAACAAGATGAAAAATCTGTCGATGTGCCCTTGAGCAAAGCACTTAACCCTAGTTACTCTGGATAAGAGCAGCTTTTAAATTACTCAAATGTAAATATCAGAGGCAGCAGTAGGAATCTCCATGCAAGCCTCAGCCTATTATGTAAACTGTGTTCCCTTCCCCTCATTCATTTATGTCACAGATAGTTGGAGGTTCTCTTTTTATTTCACCAGTCCTGCATGCAAAGATTCAAATGGACATTTCACCATTTCATCTCATGATCAGCACAAAGAGAGTTGCAGCAGGAAAGAGGAGCCTTTTAGCTACTGACAATCATAACATTGCTATTCTACTTCCACAACTAAATTATAAGAATGATAATATTAACATAGTAGTAACATGACAATAACCCAATAAATGTCTTAAGAGTCTTGCAGAAACACTTGCATATGACAGCTGATGACAAGCTAATTAGGATCTCTCTACCCTGCTTCTACAAAATGGAGGAGCTGCATCATGGCAGTCCTAAAGCGCTTGTGGCCTAATTGTTTCTCTGCAGCTCATCACGATATGACATGCACAACAAGCAAAGATTCCCAGTGTTAGGGACAGAGGTACAATGTCACGTCTTGCCTTCTGGGAGCCTCTGTGGGAGATGACCTAAATCTGCTTATTAACATTAGAGGAATCCGACTGACTAGAGCTTTGTGCCTGAGCAGTGAACTATGCCTCTGATTCAATGACACAGCATCAAGCTACAGCATTCCCTGCTCCCAAATCTGTGCTAACCCGCCAATCAAGTCCCTGGCCTGAAATAAATATGGAATGTATCCACCATTTGTTTGATTACTGTCACGGATTCAGCCGAGGCTGCTCCTCCTCCTTGCTCGGGCAGGCTTCGGCGTTCGTCGTCCCCGGAGTACTAGCTGCTGCCGATCGTTGTTTCGGTGTTTGTCTTGTTTAGTCTTTATTGTTTACACCTGTTCCCCATTATGTTTGATTGTATTCCCTATATTTACCCCTGTCTCTCATTTGGTATTTTGTGTGTTATTGTTTGTTGTCATTCCGGCAGTTCGTGTATGTACGGGTCTTTGTGCTTTCCTCCCTGTTTTGGAGGTTTGTTGTTGTGTACGTTGATTTTACTGTGTTCAGTAAATAACGTTGCCAGCCGCTCTGTGTCCTGCTTTTGACTTCGCTACCGCATACACGTCGCATGACAGAATAACACACAACGACATGGAGTCAGCAGGAGCGGCGGTGCCAGCGGGATCACTGGAGGAGCGCGTTGGCACCGCCATGGAAGGGGTGATGAACACCTTGAGGCGATGGGAAAGAGGAGGTTTGCCCACACCTCCTCCAACGATACCACCACCATCAGCTATACCCATCGCTTCACCTCCGGAGTCCAGTGGGATTCGGCTCTCGCTCCCGAGGGCTTATGATGGCACCGCGGCCGGGTGTCAGGGTTTCCTGCTCCAAGTGGAACTCTACCTGGCAACCATCCACCCGGTGCCCTCGGGATACGAGAGCGT